ATGATGACAGCCCGTCATGAGACAGTGGAAGGCCCTGTGTCAGTCAGAGCCTCCAGTACGGAAGGGGCCCCATGTCAGCTAAGGACATGTGAAGCCAAATTAGAGTATCTGTGGCAAGTATGGAATCACCCACGCTGAAGGCTTCCAAATGATGTTTTTCCCCGATACCGCCCGGTCCCATGTAGTCCAGTCTGGTCCGGTTACGTGGTCGTCTTACAAATGCTTGAGCACCAGGCTTCCCTGTCCGTTGTAGCCGCAGCTGGATCCATTCGAACATTGTCGAGCCCCTCCCGTTCTTTTTCGATCGGATTCTACCCCGGCATTTCCCTCAGCGTAAAAAGATGTTCATGCGGCGCGTGATGCCACCCACTTATGCTCTTTTTAACATTTTGCCTGTGTTTAGCATGTCGGTTACATTTATTACAGTTTTTGAGTGATTTCATTTATACATGTGGGTTGTATCGCCCGCGACTTGATCATCCGCGGGACTAGCGGCCTCAGTGAACCCCATACTTCTAACCACGTTTCAAAATGCAGCAACTTGGAAAGCACGGCACGAAAGTGAAGTTTCCATTTCAGCTGAGCGAGGGAAGGGGGCGGGGGCTTCAAACCCTTAACTTAAGATCCAGCCCTTCCGACCGTAGGAGGAAAAAATTGTGGAAAGGGATAAAACTTCTAAAATTTCCTCCAAAGTTCAAAAGAAGTCCACTTTGAGGCGAATCATAGAGGTTAGGTTTCATCTGGTTTCACGATCCGCACTTACTTCGAGAAACTACGCCCCTGGCACGGTACTTTTTCGTTACTCCGGCGGTACGCGGTACGGTACTTTTCTGAACATTCATTTTCCGCTTATTTGGTACCCCAGTAATATCATTAACACAGAACGTCATACAAAAAAGGATAACCAAACCCATGTAGTCGAAACAGCCAAAAGCAATGGCCTGCAGCGAACTGCAGTTCGTTTGGCAATGACGTCATCATCAGTCACCACGTACATGCTTCACCTACGCTTCCTAGAGAAGCCGTATCCCATTGATCAACACTGGCGTTGAAAAAACGGGGTTTTTGGGCGGACGTTGGTAGTACCGGTATGTGGCAGTATATGAGCTGAGTGATGGTAGAGATAGTATGATTTTCTGAACTAACGTCTTTGGAGCAACGTATTGTCCAATTTTCAAGAAAATCGTGTCCTTGGAACCCATTTTTGGAAGGCCTGAAAAGTAAGTGACGTCTACTTATATAGCACCGCCGCTTCTCCACCAACCACCAAATTCGACCCGTCAGCGGTCCGTAAAAACTCATTGAAAAGACAAATTCTGGCTTTGATCCGCCGGGAATGGGATGGTCATGATACGTCAGCTGTGTCAGTCTGGACATCAGTGTGGTGTCATCAACTTAACAAATTAACAGTGCCGCAGGCCAACGGTTGCCGTCGTTTCGTAATTAATGTCTTTGAGGTAAGATGATAACATGGCTTTTAGATGTCTCTGTTTTATGCTCATTTATGGCATTTCAGGTCTTAAACATCAATTGACCTGCAATGTATTCTTGCAGTATGAGGTGTAAGTGTTGATGACTGCAGATCTTGTTTTTGTTGTCACTCACAGCTAATTCTATGAATTTGGTTTTGAATATTTTGAGCCAAAGTTGTGCTAGTTAATTCATGCAAATAGCAACTCAAAATTATTGGTGATCCAACTCAAGAATCTGGAACAAACTGCAGTTTTACATAGCCCTGTAGTATTATTGGCACCTCACGCTTTTCATTGTTTACAGGTCAAAGTCGAATCAATGCACTGATTCAGGAGCTGATGACAAGAATTGATTATCAAAATGCTGAAGTCAGGCTGGCTGCTCACCTGTGTGGTGCTAGGGACAAGCATTTGGATGACCTTTGGCAAGACCTGTGTAAAGGTTCCAGGCCATGTTTGCACCTGCAAGTTGGAAAATGGAACACTTATTAGCTTGGATGCCATCAGTGGATCAAAGAGCCCAGTGTATGTACATCTTCATCAATGCATTCAGATATGTGTATTATTTGATACATACTGGCCTAACAATGTGTAAATTGCATTTCCTTCTCAGGGTCTTCAGTCATTTCTGTCATTGTTTATGTGTTTATAACCTGTTAGAACAAGTGACCTTGATTGAAGTAAAAACCTGGTGGGAAAATTTGTAAGGATAATTACTTATGTTTTTCTGCTGTCTGTAAACTCCCGCTTTAGTACACTGGCCTTTTCACTCCTTCCAACCTTGAGACCCAACCACCATGCACAGGTTCCAGGCCAGGGCACATGTATGATGGTGATGTAACCCTTGTGTAACATAATTCATCAGACATGGTTTGATTTCCTTCTTTTGTGTGTATGACAAGCACAGGGGCTGTTCATAACTTTACAAACTCATTTTTGTCTATTTTCAACCATTCTTTCCTCTGTTTGCATACTGCTTATGTTGCAAAAAATGCTCTTCCTCCCAGGTTACTCAGCATCATTCTGTGTGAAGTGGAACACCTTAATAAGGTTATATCTGTTCAACTCCTAATTGAGCTATAAGTGGGAAGAGAAGCACGTTTTGCTTGCATGCCACAATGCCTGCAATACCTGACTTCAATGTCATGCAACATTTTATAAAACCTGAGCATGATTCACATCCACACTTGACCATAATGTTGTGCTGCCACTGTCAAACTTATGTTGAGCTGCTATTGAAGATGGCCATGTTGCTGGCCCGACAGGTCTGTGGAGGTCGCGCACAAGTTCAGTTTTCCTTCACCTGTGGAGGCTTGTCGACACTCCAGTGATCCATTTGTCATCGCCTTTTCACGGATATTGCATCATGTTCACGCTCACTAGTCTGCCAGTACCAGGCTACGCCACTCTGGAAACACTTTTTTACGTTTCAGATCCCCTTCCCTGAATGACAAATGGAGCATACTTCGGATGATCATAACGGATTGCCTCGCTAACATGGTTTCTGCGGATGACGCCCAGTTGTGAGCCTCTCGCAAAACTGCAGTTTCAAACAAGGTTGAAATGGAAAAACATTTTTCCATTCAATAATATGTTGTGGAACGGTTTCTTATTTTGAAAATAAGAACCTGACAGCGGAAACCCACATTTAAGCGGTCAAAATCCGAGGAGGAATCACGTTTTAGGGGTAGGTTTGGTCAACGTAATGAGCTGAGCTCTCGGACGCTGGATATGAGGAACCCTGCAAGCTCGGCTGGAGTTCCAGGAGCCCAGACATTAGCTCATCGCCAAGATGGAGGAGGGGGTTCGAGCCCCTTCCTCCCCACCTCACCGGCGGTCCCATGATCCCACTGGACGTGACGTGATCCCTGGACGTGAAACGATCCTATCCTTGTCGGCACGCCCGTAAACCCCAATCATCATCGTCACGTCCATGCTCCGCTCATGGTTATGGTTGTAGGCGCTATGGCTCGTGGTGCCCGCCCTTCCTGCCAGGGTGAGAGGCAGCGACGCTGTATAGCCTGAGCAGCTGAGGGCGTCGTAAAGCCCCTGTGGCGACGCAGATCGTTAGGTCCACATTTAGCTCGTGGTGCTGGCCACTGCGCGTGAGATAATCTGTTGTCTAATTTTTGGAGCATGCGTGTTGGTTATGGCCAAGTGCGCATCGTACCCTTCCATCGAGTTGAAGTCTGTGACTAAGGGGGCGTAATGGCCGATTAGTTTGCTTAGACTTCCACGTGAGGCTCGGCTTCGAATCTCGGTTACACCATGCCCCTGAGCGCTGTTACGGCCAGTGCAGTCGCTGCGGCTTCATGAAAGGAGCGTGACGACGTGCGTTGTGCCCCTTTTGTAAGAAGCATGTGACCTAATAGTTCATATCATAGTGCAGGTTTTACCATCAATTTCTGGCTTATTGCCTGACTTTCTGTGTTCATTGCTTGGTGTCGTCGTCCTCCCCCCGCCTAAAGTTCGAGGCGATCGTTCAACTGGCCGCCATACGCCAAATTCTCCACCGCCGCCACGCTCGCGACGCCATTGGCCAGCCTTTCCGTGACGTCATCGTTTGCCTGCCGTGCTCCAGGTTCGCGGACGTCGAGGAGGTGAATCACACCAGCGCCGACGGCCGGCAGTACCTTTACTACTACGACCCGTGTCGCAGCTTCGCCCTGCCGCAAGCCAACGGCGTCTGCACCGGAGTCTCGGTAAGAGCCGCAGCGTCTAGAGACGTCCTGTCGTGGCGGGGCGACTTGCGACCGGAAGGTCTCGGGTTCGGTTCCGGATTGCTGCATATTTCACGGGCGTTTAAACGTTCCACGGCGCGATTGCGACGTCAGATCATGCGTGTCGTGTTGATCTCTGTCGCATGGGCTAGGCGGGTGTTAACGCACGTTCCCCGATCCTGTAGTTCAGAGGGTCAAACAGGGGGCAGGAGCAGATTAGGTTTATTTGTACCTTGAGCCTGATAAAAGTTCCCATTGTAATACTGTTACCAAACAGTGTGGTACCTTAATTTATGAGGCAATGATGGCTGTTGATAGTTACGTCCCTTCGGCCCTGTGCATTGAGCATGCGCAATAGGACAAAGGTTCACCAGATGCTTTGAATTATTCAAGGCAAAAGGTACTGTATGAAAGCCTTATGGGGGCGTCCGTCCCCATAACTCAGGCGATTGGAGCGCCTGCCTGCCAATCCACCCACCCGCGGTGGGGTATAGTCGGGTCACTCCAGAGGCTCGCCATTTTCCCTGCGACTGGAATGACCTACAGCCAGCGACAGAGGTCGCGCTAAGGGTCAGGTGATGGCAGAGGTTGACGCGGACCGTGTTGGGCATCACGGCGCGTTTGCCCTTGGCGGATAAACTCTGCTGTTGACCCGTAATTTCACAGTCTGGGATGGGGTTGCGACTCACACAAGGAACACTGCTCAGCGCGGGCAATGGTCCCTTAAAACCATCCGTTCAAAAGTGCGGACAAAAAACTGCCTTGCAACACACTGTGAGGAAAAGTCCGGAGCGGAGGCCATGCGGCGGCCGGCGACGCGCGCGGCCGGGCTGGCGTGGGGTTGGTGATGGACACGAGACGTTTCGCTTGTGGTTTGAAACAGCGGTCACTGGATGTGGCGGACCCTGACTCGGTGTAGAGCGGTTCGTTGTGTTTGTGCGTCTCAGAAAAGTCTGACATCTTAAAGGGGCGTGCTGCCGACCAAAACACCAAACCGAAAACGGTCCCGGAGATCCAACCTTCGCCTCCGCCTCAGGTGTGTCAGAAGGACGTCGCCAGCAACGCCTACTACAACCTGGGCGAGCTGGGCGACACCAAGTTCGGCTGGGACGAGACGCGCGATCTGTTCTACATCAGCTACAGGGGCTGTGACGGCCAGGACTGCAGGTCTGATGCCGCTCGGTCGTCAGCAGCTCCGCTGACGGTCGTCAGCAGCTCCGCTGACGGTCGTCAGCAGCTCCGCTGACGGTCGTCAGCAGCTCCGCTAACGGTCGTCAGCAGCTCCGCTGACGGTCGTCAGCAGCTCCGCTGACGGTCGTCGGCAGCTCCGTTGACGGTCGTCAGCAGCTCCGCTGACGGTCGTCAGCAGCTCCGTTGACGGTCGTCGACAGCTCCGCTGACGGTCGTCAGCAGCTCCTCCGCTGACGGCCGTCGGCCGAGTCCCCCGCCACCGGGGGAGCATGTTTAAGACGCAGTGTGCATTGTTAGCAGATGCGTCTTCTCCTATGAACGCCTGATGGCGCAACGTGCCTTGCAGTTTTCCACGCTGTGATGCGTAAATGACCTACGTGATTGACAGTTGTTTTCTGGTTGTGTTTTGACCATAACGCGCGCACTACTTCGGAAACAATAGTTTATATGGTGAAACGCGGCCAAATGCGTGTCATTCGCTGCATGCATGAGTCTAAAAACCTGTCATGTCACGCCTGTCGGTTGCATATATTGTTTCAGTTTAATTAAAGTGCCGTTCGTGTTGCAGACGCACCAACGTGTCCTTGCGGTGCGACTGGTCGCGCGGCGATCCCATGCTGGAGGTGTTCCGGCAAAACGGGGGCACCCCTCTGGAATACGTGAGTGGATCGAGTTAGATCGTTGCGTGATGACCACTGATGCGGCTATTTCACTTCCTTTAACGACATGTTAGGGGGAGGGGGGGGGGGGGGGCGCTGCGAGGCGAGCCAGTTGTCCACGCTGCTGCCGCCGTGTTCCATCACGGGGTGGCAGGAGTTGCGCTCACACCACCATCCAGATCCATTCCCTTCATTGTGTTTAGATGGCCGTGCTCGGCATCGTTTTCCGGGTAGACGTGGGCACCGGCAGAAGTCATCTTCAGGCCACTGATCAGTCCGCGGCCCTATAACGCTGTCTTTGTCGCTAGGACCGCTACTGCTTGCTTCCCTCCCACAGGGCAGTGCGAGGTCCTAAAATGCCGCTTTAATTGCTAGTGACGCTATCACGTATGGGCGTGCCCTAAAACCGTGCTCATTTCTCACAAGTCTCACAAGTCGTCAGCATCGTGCCCACAAATCATAATCGATATACAGCACCTCTGCACGTCCGACTTCTTTTGTGTGGGCTCGCTCTTCCTGAGAAGTGTTAACACTTGCGCCGACGGTGTGGAGCACGTCAAGAAGTGTCCTTCAGGCGCCGACGCCCGCCAGCGGGCACGGACGCCGCCATCACCCCCTCTCACCCCCCCCCCCTCCCCCCCCCCACCCGGTGGCAGAACATGACGCTGACGTCGCGCTGCGCGTGCCCGGCCGGCTGTGCCGAGGAGCGACACCCGACCCGACTGAGCGGCGGCGCCGTGTTCCTCATCGTGCTGGTGGCTGGCGCCGGCTTCTACCTGCTGGTCGGCGTCGCCTACCGCAGGATCGTGGTGGGCGCCACCGGCTGGGAGGCGCTGCCGAACAGGAGGTTCTGGGCCAGCCTGCCCGGCCTGGTCCGGGTGAGTGGGGTGGTCGCCCCCCCCCCCTTCAGGGAGGGATGGCCGGATGTGACGTGGAGTCCGTCTGGCGCTGCGGTGTGCTGGCACAGGGTTGTCAGGTTGAGTGATGTGGTGAGTGGAACACTCTTCGGGGTGGAGTCTGAAAGGAAGACCTTGAGCGGACGACATGACATGAAGGCGAAAATGACCCTGTTGCCAGCTCGTAGTGACATGGCGTACGCACGCGCTTCCCATCTGGTTTAAATACTCTGTCCTGCCCACCCTACCCCTTCCTTTCACAGAAGGAACCCTCTCGACCCCCCCCCCCCCCCTCCTCCCCCTCCTTCCCAGGGAACGGTTGTGGCCGTGGAGCCACACGTTTTTGCAGGACGCTGTCAGGTACCGCATCACGTGTCCAAGGACTGACCTGGCGTGAGATCAGATCAGGTCTACGATCAGATTACATCAGATCACACCAGATCAGATCACATCAGATCAGATCACATCAGATCAGATCAGATCAGATCAGATCGGGGCCGCCAGTTGGCACGGGGTTAGCATCTGCACAACCAGTCATCATTGCCGATGCTTCTTAGGAGGGGTCACTGTTGCCGCTTGAGAGAAGTCATGAAGCCTTTGCGAGGGGAGTGGAGGCGTTATGGGAGGGTGTCTTGGTCTTAGAGTAGGGCAGGTGAACCTGGGAATTATGGATGTCGGTGAGAGGGAAAGAAAGTAGATGGAGCTGCACCGGAGGGCGCGAACGAATGAGTATGGGACGGGTGGTGAAGGACGGGGAGAGGGAGGAAGAGGAGCGTGGTGTGAGATGGGACCGAAGAGGAGAGACCAGGGAGGACGAGAGAAAGGGAGAGGCAGGAGGGAGTTCAGAGAGGATGCTCGGTAAGACGTAGCCACGGATGTAAGCCGAGGGGGTCGGGTGGGCAGGGCGTAGTATCAACCCTGGATTCGGGAGGATGTGTGTACGCCATGTCACCTGCAGCTGATAATCGGGCCATGTTGGGCCCTCATTCATTATACACCGCTGTCGTATCAACCCTGGATGCGGGAGGACGTGTGTACGCCATGTCACCTGCAGCTGATAATCGGGCCATGTTGGGCCATCATTCATTATACACTGCTGTCGTATCAACCCTGGATTCGGGAGGATGTGTGTACGCCAGGTCACCTGCAGCTGATAATCGGGCCATGTTGGGCCTTCATTCGTTATACACCGCTGTCTTCATCATGGACCTCAAGTAGCTTGGCACGCCGACCGTTTTCAGTCCTCGCATCCAACGCTCTCGTCACCGCAGCAAACTGTTTTCCCAGGACGGCGTCACGTTCTGCATCACCTGCCGAAGGGCCGACACCACCTACGATCAGATCTGAAGGCACCGGCCGGCAGGCCCTCAGCATCGGCGCCTCCAGTCACCGCTGCCGACGCGCCGGCGCGGCGGTGCTTCCGCTGCCAGTGCCGGACGACCAGATGGTTGGAATGGCCCACCTGTGCAACCAGTCAACCGCTTTACGGCATCAGCGAGGAGCGTGACAGCGCGGGAAGCTTCGACGTCGGCGGTCTTGAGAAAGTGCCTTCGGGAGTGACCGGATTTGTAGGTTATGTCGGTAATGCCGTGGCGCACGTCGGGCGCGAGTCTGGGTTCATATGCGCTGGGATGGGCTCCACCTTCGTCTCATGTGCGGTACGGCCACGTGATATCTGCTCGTGATGAAGCGTGCGGCTCAGTCCATCCTATGGGACAACCGGTATGGGGAGTGCGCGTGAGCCGTTGGAACTCACTGGGCCGCCAGTGTTGTGTGCGGCCCTCGGCCGGTTGGGTGTGAGTTACGTCGCTGAACGCGGGCTGCCGCGTCGCCGAGATGTGCTGTGAGACGCGGCCTGCGCCTCGAAGGCGATGGACGAGGACTGGACGCCAGCTCAGGAGATGCTCCGCGCCTCGGGGAAATCGCGCGCCGTTGTCGAGGGCGTAAAGGGAAGCAAATGCCCGGTCGCATGTAATCGCCGCACGTATGTGTAGTGCGGAGGTGGGCACTGACGTTTTCCGTGCGGGGGTCGCGTCGCTGAGCGTGACAGCTGACGGCCACAGGTGAAACAGTCGGACTCGCAGCTCCCTCGCGGGAAGCCTATAACTTGTCTTCGTTGGCCGGATGTTGATTGGGGGATTTATGGGGCGACTCGTTGCCGTGACGTTCGTGGGATGTGCTGGCGGAGCGACCTTGACCTCCAACGGCTCTCCTGTGTGGCGCGAGTCTGGTGTTCGTAGTGTTCATCAGTACCGAGGCTTGTTGAGTGCCTTGCAACGACACTGTGATGGCGTTGTTATTCGCAGCATGGACGCGAGGCCTTAATAACTGCGAGCATTCCAAGCGAGGGAAACCGTCTCAAAAACATCCATCACATAATCTCTGTTTTATGAGGCTCAAATTGCAAATAAGATGCAACCCTTGTGACGATCTCTATGCTAGCAATGAGTACACAGAGTTATGCACCCAAGACAATAAATATGGCTTGGCAAAACAATAAATATACCGGTGTGGCGCCATGTAGGATGATGTGCCCTGTGTCCGCCTGATGGCGCAGTTTATGTGGCTTCCTGAGAGTGGTAGCGTTTGTTCCGTGGGATTATCGCCTGACGGCTCGCGAAATGTGGGTCTTCCTGTGACGTCACTGATCTGAATTGCAGTACGCATGCGTAATCTCCGTGCTCTCAAATGGGAATGTTCGTGAGGTGGTGATTTGCGAATGCGGCCTGCTGTCTTGTGTAGTTCTGGCGGTATTCTGCGCGTACCATACAAGCGTTTATTACAATTTCGTCTTCGTGTTTTGTTTTTGTGTTGGCATCCTCTTGGCGAATGAGTAGTCACCAGGCACCCTAGCCCTAACCCCTCCCGCGAGACGCCACCATTCCTGCGTGGCGTTGTTAAGAGCTCCTTTGATCCTGTGGGCGCATCTCGAGGAGTCTATTTGGAAAGATTACTGAGCTGGGCATAGTTAATGAGAAGTTGTCATATTTGGACCAGCTTGTTTGCATGGAATGGTATATTTCTGGGTCACCTATAGCCCTTCCTCAGCCTTGGTCAGACGGTGGTATGAGGATCGCAGGCAGGCACGCGTGAAAGGTGTGCTGCTGGCGTGAAGCCAACGGAGGGTATACGAAATTGAATAAGCCCGGACGCAGTCGGCGGATCTGGGCCAAATCTGAGTCGTGCATGCAGGTAACCATGTCCGGTTCAACACATGACGTTTCGTTGCATTGCCTGTTACGTATGTCGAAACATCGTACAACTACCGTGAAAAATGTCGCAAATAACTCGGAATATTGCACTTTTCAGTTACCGAAGAGATATACAACATCCGGGTTTTATGTTGATTTGGAGTCATGGACCGCTGAGGGATTTTTTTTTGGCTTTAAATCTCTCACGGTATTTGCAATGTTGCAATTGCAGCATTGCTAATTACATCGTATAACGCGTCGTTGAAACACGAAGCTGGAGGAATTGATACCACAAAACTGCCCAGAAAACTATTTTTAATGCGATACCTGTCAAACAGCAAACCCTGAACATACCGGGTGCTTGTAATTTTGATATTTGTAACCGCGTTGTTGGAGTGCACGAAACGTCCAACAGATGTCTCCAGTGTTCGCACGTAGGCAGAAAATCTCCCCTCCGAGGTTTGACACGGGGTGCGGACAAGAGCGTGGTGCGACGCTGACGTGGGCCTGTTTTTTATCCGGAGCTTACCGCAGGGCCAGGCGCGCCCGTGCCTCGTGAGCCAACTCCAAACCGAGACATTACACATGGCCTCGAGAACAGCAGGGGCGGAGTGGACATGATGCCTATCATCGCTGCCAGACCATACGCTGCGGGCAGAGCTGATCAACTGGAGGGCGTACAGGAACGTTCGGGGTGGCTGTCTGTTTAGCATACCACGCTGGGCTATGCCAAGTAAGAAACTAGCTAGAGTTGAGCTCACCACAGGGTACCATTTTGGCGAGCAAGAAACTAGCTTAAGTTGAACGAACTAGAATGCATGATTTTTTAGAACTTTAGGCTAGTTTCCGGTATTTGCTCCATCATCCCATTTTTTAACATAAAGGTAGAATGGTCGTTCGTCTTCACCGCCTCCCACCCCGCCCCCCTCCTCACCCACTATTTTAAGGCAGGTCCTTTGCAAAGGACAGGGGGTCGTTACAAGCTTGATGTACAAGAATATACCGTGCGTATTGGATTAATGTTAAGGATACGTGTACCGCATTGAATTATTCAAAGACTGGAGTGACTACATTGGATGTACCTAACACTACAGCGCAGGACGTACGTGAGATTGCGATTAGTGACCCCGCACGCCGCACAATCCGCACTAGATGGGGCGTGCGAGCACTCGGACGAACTTGACCCGGACTACTGACCTTGAAGGTCAAAATCGTGCTCAAAGACGGGGAACTCCATGCCACCAGAAAATTACTGGCCAATTTTAGACTTCGCAGAGCCAGAATATTCACCACATCACAGTTGCCGAACAGATATTTACCATCCCCTGCATAACCGTTTTACTCGGAGAACTGATAATTGCAAAATTACGCAGGCACGTGACACTTAAAGGCTTCTTGACTACAAATCATGCAGTGAGCGGGCTCGTTGTCGTGTGAGGCAGGATACGCTGAGAGACGTATAATGAAAATGGTGTCAATGGTGCCTTGCCGGCGAAGAGAGACCTCTAAGGGCCGGCCGAAAAACGGCGAGGCACCGCCTCCGAAATTTCTCCATGTGTGCAAAATGAACTCGTCCAAGCGATCACGACGCTAGCGATTTAGCCGGACAGCCAATGAGCGAGCCCTCATGGGTTCTTAATGCCGAAAAGATAATGACGCCGACGGCACGGCTGGGGCTCACTGGTGTTCCAATGTCTGGATAACACCTCCGTGGTCTAGGGGAAAGATGCTGGACTCGTAATCCAGCGGCACTGGGTACGAGTCCCAGAGTGGGCGCATTGTTTGACCCGACTGAAATGGAAGGGCCAGCTGGCAAGTGGCCAACGAGGTTCAACTCAGACCCGAGGCGGCCGTGTCGCAGCATTGTGCGGCACGTAGAACCCTCCGCATTCCTGTCTGGCCAAAGGGCGGAGGCAAAGTCAACTGTTGAACTGGACGGCATGCTTGGGTGGTGGGTTCGGGTACACGCACCAAGCTATGCTTAGCAAGTACTCTGAATCCGAAGTCACCCATACAAACCATTTGGGATGAATTTAAAAAACACAAAAAAAACAAAAAAAAACGCCGATACCTCAGAATCCGCCTCTGTACTCGCGGGGCCGCCGTACAGCAGACCCGGAAACGTCTGGTTGACGGCCGAAGGGTCGATGGTCCGGAGAGCGTGGCGCCAGATGTTGGTTACAGCGTCGACAGTAACGGCTGACAAAAACGCTGGCGGCGAGCTCGGCGCTTCGAAGTCAATGAGAGAAAACGGAGGGAGCCACGGCGAGGCGGCTGGCCGCAGGCAGAGCCAGGGGGCGGCGCCTACAGAGGAGAGCAAAACCAGCGCGACCGCAGCGTGGCGAGATGGAACTAGCTTGGCATGTGCCCTCGCCAGCGCACTATTGCCTGCTCTCGGTGGACGGCGGCGACCGACCATCTTCAGTCAACACATTAATAAATTAAAAGCGAATCGAAGAAGAGAACAGTTGAACAGTCAAAGTCTGCTCTCTTCTGGCCGTATCTCTTCACCATCCCCCCATCCCCCAAAATACACCCGCTTCTTCCCGTGGCGCAGCCTGTCTGATCGTGACCCCGGCGCTTGGCGTGATGCCAAATCACCCCTTAGTGAACCTCAATGACGATAATCATACTTACATAAAAGTGCGATTATTTCATTATACCTGATGCTTGTTTCTATATTTTCACATGTGCAGCATTCCCTTTAAGCCATATACGCGCCACAGGCTCCATTCTTTCGTTAGCATTGCTGCGAATCATCGAACCAGGGACTTCTAACAGAACCTAGTGCTCTTCCAACTGAGCAAACCGGATATGACTTGCCTCCTCCTTGTCCTTTCCAGTTAGTTCAGCTTGCCAAGCACTGGACTCCCAATCAAATTTCCTTTGTTAAAATCCCAGCAATTCCAAGGACACAATCAGTCCTAATTAGGACTGTGACGCGTACATGGCTGAAAAGCAAACGCCATTCTCAGGATTCGACAACAGCTTACGATTGCAGGAGAGTTAAACGGCCGAAACTTTGCGAAAATACTAACACGACATTCCACTAGGCAGGCACAATAGTCCGAACAACTACTCACCCCGTGGTGCTAATAGCTCGTCTCAATCTTTCCATGAAGGTCTACAGTTGGGGATAAAATCCTAACCTTCCCGCATCGCTAATCCTGGTGCCCTCACCTTCCGTCCCAAACTCTGGCTGCGCCCCTGGCGTGAATAGATGGCCCAATGCGTCAGATTTCTGCCTTCTAATCTTTACTTTGCAGTTCGCACGGCAATTTCATCGTGATGGCTCGTGGTTGGCGATAGTCCTCTAGACGTGTGATAGTCTCCTAGACGATAGACTGATGCGATAGATAGATGGACTGATGTGACTGATGGGCGTGAATAGTGTGTTAGATACAAGGTATCGCAAGCGGAGTTGTATACACGTGAAGTTCCCACCAAAAGCACGAGGGCTCTTGCTTGGATATCGTAAATTAAACGGCATCCCTTGAATAAGGTTTGCTGTAGCCGCTACTAGGATGAACAGGGGACACATTAAAACGGTGGGCGTTGGACACTGAGGCTTGCAATGTCCTCACAGGTTTTCAGTGTGGACATTTACAAACTTAAAGTTAGGGTTAATTAAAGTCAAGTTGCCAACCAGATATTTATCAAACTCCGCATGACGTATTTCATTTGAAATGCTGATACATGGTAAAATTACGATCACATGTAATACTGCTTGGCACTGGATTACAAATCATGGATTGAGCAAGCTTGTCTTGTTTGAGGCAGGGTAAGCAGGTAGTCATAAGGACCCCGACGCCAAATGGAAGCGCCATCAACGGCTCCCCGCTGGAGAAAAGAGACGGCAAAGGTCCGGCCGAAAGCCGGCCATATATCGTTTCCAAAACTCCCATATTTTTTGCATGGACTCGTCCATGCGATCAGAACGTTGGTGGCTGATCCGTTCAGCCAGTGAGCAGGTTTTCATGGCTTCCTAGTGCTGAGAAAAAAATCACGATAAGGCATGATTCAATACCGCGCATTGAAGTCTCCCTATCAGTGACGTCATCCTACTGTCAAGGTACGATGATTTGAGAATCACCGAGAGATTTTACTTCTGGGCCACGGCTTCGGCCGCAGCTGGCGTAAGCACGAATGTGCTTCGTTGGGGGTTGGGTGTGCGGGTGGCTGGTGTAAGGTAAAAAGCTATTTTCGTCATATTGTATGGCATATAAAGCTGATTGATAGTACTAGAGTCGTTCATAAACGCCTGTTGGAGCTACTGATATCATTTTTGTGCTAAATTTTGTTGATCTAGGCAGTTTTATGCAGTGCGAGGCCCAAGGGTTTCGACATGGTTTGGGCGAAGGTTTCTACTAACGGGGGCTATGCCGGCGGCAGGTGGGGGGCGAGGCGGGCCTGCGCCGGCGTACACCGTTGATGCTGACGAGGTCCGACCAGCTAGGTGTGTAACAGGTGTGAGGTAAATAGTTTTTATTACCATTGTATGGCACTTAGAGTTGTATTGAGGTTCCAAATAGACTTGTAACTGTCTTGCATTTTCTCTTATACCAATGTTGTAGGAGCCTTGCACCCAGTTCAAGTGGTTTAGGCATCAAGGAAGTAGGAAGTTTGTACAAGTAAAGGCTCATTGTGCACCTAGTTTAGCATGCCTCTGGAAAACAGAGCTGGTTTCCAGCATGAGTTTAAAGTTTCAGTGATGTTCATGAGTGTCATCAGTGTGAATATTAGAATTGAGTGAATGTTTTGTTATCACAAAGAGGAAAACTATCTTTCATTGAAGTGGCTCAGGTTAGATATGGCCCAAGTGTTGGGTTAACTGCCAATAAGTCATTCTAATATTTCATGTTGCACAAGTTTTGAGTTGTCTGCTATCCTCACCACTCTTTAACACTTGCTGGGATGCAGGTCAATTCCCCCCCCCCCCCCCAAGAAGGTTGTATGTAGTAATTTTAAACAGCAACCTATGTCAAACTTAACTTAGCTTAGACAGTTTAATAGCAGATTGGATACAATCAGAAATCAGATGCACCATGTAAGTTTGATTGGCCTTTGGCAGGTCAATGTCAGGCTGTGTCTACAGCAAAGGCAATTTTCAAGGGAATCATTCAATTTGTTGTGACAGCTGTCTGCTAGTGTTAGATAAACTCATGTGTTTCTGAGGTAGTTTCTTCAGGAAAGATGAAAATTACATGCAGGATTGTAACAAATGTGATTTACCTTGGGCCAGGAATGAAAGCCAGACTGGGGTCTGAACCAGCCTATTTTTTTCTTGAGAGTCTGCAGAATGGGTAGTTTCGGGTGCTCACTTCAGATTTATGACTAGCAAATACTGAAACACCTCTTCCATGGACTTATTTAAGGTCAGAGTAGGTCAGTTACATAAAGTAACCAGGTTAACATTTTGCTCAGGAACACACAGCTTGGTGTAATCCTTGAGGCTCATTCAAATGAACAAACTATAACATATTATGATATGGGTTACCATAACCCTCTATAGGTCAAACAAGGCCACTTACCTTAAATGGACACAAGTGACTGCTTGAAATAGGTATCAAAGCTCAGGATGGCTACATGAGGAAGTATGGGGGCACTGCATGTCAATCTCAAGTTTGACCTTGTTTGACCTTATTTGACCTCGAGGTCATGCAAAAAAGTAATAGAGTTAGAGACACCAAAATCACAGTGTAGGTTCCAAGGAATGTCAAGTTATTTCACAAGTGAGCTGATATAGATGCCAACCTACACTGTGACCTTGGTGTCTCCAACTCTATTAGTTTTTAGCCTCAGGAGGTGTCAACTTGACCCTAATCTGAGTGAAGAGTATTCAAGTGGCCATGCTGGCATGTGTTAATCCATGGGATGTGCTCACTGCAACCTGCTTACACCTTCATTATGTTCCAGGTATCCAAAGAAATGAAACGTAGCTCTAAATGGTTCCTGCTTACCTTTGTTGTTGCTTGCAGCCTTCTGTTTGTTTCCAGAACTGGAATGGGGACAGGTGAGTTAAAGAATATGGCTTTCATGTACATACATATGGATACATGCACACGCACACGCGTACGCACGCGCACGCGCACATGCCACATGCACATGCCACACATGCATGCACACGCGCACTGCACACGCACACGCGCACGCACACGCGCACGCGCCCACGCGCACGCACACGGGCACACACGCGCACACGCACACACGCACACACACGCACACACACGCACACACACACACACACACACACACCACACACACACACACACACACCACACACACACACACACACACACACACACACACAGATATATATATATATATATATATATATATATATATGTATATATATATATATGTATATATATATGTGTGTGTGTGTGTGTATATACAAAATGGTGGTGACCAGCACAGTAAGATAGTTGCAGAAATTAGACTGCATATGCAAAATATAAGCATGTTATGATGTGGACAGTTTCAATTGCATCAGTGCAGACCTTAAGGTGAACTGCAGAATGAAATGCATACATATGATGGCGCTGGTCATCTCCACTGCAGGTAAACATGTAACTATAGGTATAAAGACACTGACCTCTCCCGTGATCGAGCCACACACATACGGATGGTGGTGATGAGATCATCCATGGTATAAGCTGTGTCTGTGCCTGCAGGTGACGTGGGTCATGTCCTGACCTCCGCCCCCAGTCCTGCCCTCTCCTTCACCCCCATCCCCGATCCGCACTCTGACCCCGCCTGTGACCGGGTCTTCAGCCTGTCCGACTCGCGCCCCTTCTGGGAGGCGGCGGACGCGGTGCTGCCGGGCTGCGGCGCCTCCGGGCTGGGCGCCAGCGGCGCGCGCGCCTGCCTGCGGCGCCTCGCCGGCACGCGGCACCGGCCGGCGCACCTCGTCCTGGTCGGCGACTCGCGCGCGCGGTCGCTGTTCGAGCAGCTGTCCGCGGAGCTGGAGCTGCGGCCCGAGGGCCGTCCGGTTAGCGGAGCTGTTTCCGGACGTGGTCAACGCCTCGCAACCAAGTCGTCGGCAACCCGGTGCTCTGCACCGAGGGCTTCAAGCTGTTCGACTCGACGGGCACGCGCTGGCGGAAGCTCGCCTGCAGCCTGGTGGCGGCCAGCCCCCTCATGCGCGTGGAGTTCTTCTGGCGCGCGCACGTGGACGGCGCCTTTTTACACTTGCTGCGCACGCAGGCCGACAGGTGCGGCGGCGGCGGCGCCTGCCCGGACCTCGTGGTGCTGACGAACGGCTACTGGTACGCAAAGCCGTTCTTAGACCTGGAGCGCGCGCCGCTGCAGGAGGCGTGCAGCGCTTCCTGCGCGACGTGACGGCCGCTGGTGCTGCGCGTCCGGGCGCTGACGGCCCTCACCCAGGTGGTGTGGAAGCTGGACGGGCCGGAGAGGACCGAGAGCGGCGGCAAGAAGTCGCTCATCGGCGGCGTCGTCCTGACACTGAACGCCATCGTGCTGGAGCGCTTAGCCAGGTAGGCGGTCCTCCCCGGGGTCGTCCTGGCACTGAACGCCGTCGTGCTGGAGCTGCTCAGCCAGGTAGGTGGTCCTCCCCCCGGGTCGTCCTGGCACTGAACGTCGTTCGTGCTGGAGCTGCTCAGCCAGGTAGGTGGTCCTCTCCTCCCCCCCTCCCCCCCCCTCTCGGCGGGGTCGTCCTGGCACTGAGCGCCGTCGTGCTGGAGCTGCTCAACCAGGTAGCAGCAGCCCCCTCCCCCGGAGCAGGTACCGGCGTCAGATCCTTGGAGGCGGTGAGAGCAGACGCGTTTGTTGTCACTGCTTCGTGTGCTACGCCAGTGGGATTATTTTAGCTTTTGTCAGAGCAGGCGAAGGTACTCCCCCCTCCCCCGCCGCCATCCGTCTTCCATGACGTAGGCGAGCTTGAGGATGGGACCTAGGATAGCTAGCGTGGAGAACCATGACCCCCAGGAGAGTAAAAGAAACGTATTCCGGCATTTGCACCTCAGGCTGGCGGAAAAATTCGTGTTTCCAGACAGGAAACACGTGACGGCATGCTGGATCCTCCATGTTTCCTGTCATAACCGCACGCTGGAGCTACCCTTGTCGTGTTGGCCGTTCAATGGTTCTGATGGAGCAGATCTTGCTATGCGTCCGTGCTATCATGACTACATGCATCCTGCAGTTGGTTTGTGCTCGGTGCGCCCCGAATGCGAACCCCCGAATCCATTTTCTAGTTAACGGCTTTCTGACGTGTGCTTGGCTGCGAATGCGCGTTCCGTCGTATCCGATTCATTCATCTGCTTTTGTGCCGGCCCAGGCTGCGGCGGCAGGCAGATACTTCTCCGGCACCGCCCGACCCTGACCCTGACCTTGACCTTGACCTTGACCTTGACCTTGACCTCACTGCGCCACACCCGTTTCTGAGCAACTGCTGCTTTCGGAGGACAGCTGTGCACGTAAAAAGGCAGTCGCGGCAGAACATATGTAAAAAGACAGTCGCGTAAGAAGTGGGTAAACACAACCAGGGCCTGTGGTTTTGGAGCGCTCATGTGGCTGAGCCTTGTGCCGCTCCGAGCGTCATTCCCCGTCCTTGGCGCACGTGGTGTTGCGCCCACGTGTGAAACGCTAGGCCATAAACTAGATTATATGCCAAACGTAGCGCAAAGTGAGCCTCCTAGATGAGCCTCTTGCTGGCCTGTGCTGCAACGTGTCCATTGCTAAACAAAGGCCGCACCAACTTCCTCTGCAATAGCTTCTGCATTGACGCGATGTTAGCGCGTTAAAGGTGCATTTCATGTCGGTGGTGATCTGAAAAGGAGGCCCTGTAACACATAAGACTTGAACTGATATTACGCTGTTGGCATCAAGTTGTCATACATCCTACGGTGGCAGTTTACTCGATATGGCCTCATTTGAAGACGGTCATGTTATCACAGTTGTCATAGCCCTGCGCGTGCATGGCATGTTGGTGAAGCTAATGACAAGATCGTGATATTTCATTAGATGACCCGACATGACCTTTCCCCATCCGTGTGACCCCAATTGGCAATGAGATGTAGTGAGATGTAATGAGATGTAATACCATAAGGTGCTACGGTGCCCTCATCACGAGCTTAAACCCTGCTGAGACCTTAGACCCCAGACTTGAGAGCTGAGACCTGAGACCTGATGTCGATCTGCACGCTTCCGCTTTCAGGGCCTCCAGCTTTGGAATAGTTAAGATATTACAGTACCGCTAACACGAGCTGCATTACGTGGCCTACTGATTCTGAAGTTTTGAAATGATTGATAACAACGTCGCTAAGTCCTGTACCTCGTCTGACCTGCGCGGGTTAAATGTGCGGGAGCCGCAGCTCAGTTTTAGAGTTGGCCCACGGTCGTTTACAGGCAGCGCTGGTTCGAGCTTGGTCACCGACCCCGGGCTTGAGCTTGGTCACCGACCCCGGGTTCGAACTTGGTCACCGACCCTGGGTGCGAGCTAGGTCACCGACCTCGGGTGCGAGCTTGGTCACCGACCCCGCGTGCGGGCTTGGCCGCCGGGCAGGGCGCCGTGATGCCATGGGATAGTGAATGTCATGATGGTGCTTGTATAAGCAGCTTATCGCTATAAGATAGTTACGCCTTTGCTGACCGTGGCGAGAAGGCCATGCCTCTGCGTGGGGAAAATGACACCAAATGACCTGACATATTGGAGGCGTCATTAATTCCCCGATATTACCACCCTTGACAACATGAAAGGTCGTCTAGGTCAAGATCGCCTCGGGTCAGATCTGCAAACTTCCACGTCATGTGACGGCAATCTTTTTACATCTGTTTGAGATGATCGATGCCCCCAACAGCACGCGCCGCCGTGACTCTGGTATTTTCTTTCCATGCACCACCTATTACCGTGCATGTATGTGCTATTGCGCTGATGGATGCTTTTCCAGGGCCAAATTGCCGTCCTGCCCCGAAATGACAGCGCGGGTACCGCTGTCCACGCGCACGCTGCACGTCCTGATGCCCAGCCCGCCTGACCTGCTGCAGGTACCCGGTGTGCAGCCATGGACGTCCGCCCTGCCGGATACCCTGCACTTCTACCACTCGGTCTGCCTGCCGCTGGCGGCGCAGCGCGCGCCTCAACACGCAGCCCGTGCGCCACGAGTGCCTCGACGAGAACCACGTGGGCGCCTCGGTGCGCGCCGCCGCGTGCGACGTCTTGCTCAGCTTCGTGTGCCGCCAGGCGCACGAGCGCCGGCCGGGGCACTGCTGTGGGGCGGCGGCGCCGGAGCTGGGCGGCTCGTCGCCGCCGCCGCCGCCGCCGCCGACGCCGCGCCGGCCCGGGCTGGGGACCCGCTGACCGGTCACTCAGTCGCGGCGTACAGCGCGGGCAGGACGGCCGGCGGGCGTCGGCGCCTCCGTCCTCCCTCACGGTTCACCACGAGTGGGATTGAGTACCCCTTGGCGGGGCTCCGCCCGAGCGCCCGCACAACCCCGGAAGGGGTCTTCGTGGAGGGCTAATGGTTGGTGGAGGGCTCCCAGGTGCAGGTAGTTTTGCCTTTTCACCCCCCGCTCTCCTTCATCTGGCAGCCCTGAAAGGGTCTTGAATGGCGGAAGAGGCTTTGATCCATACCAAAGAAGAAAAAACGGACAGGGAAACATGGGCAGGGATCGTCGGATCGACGTTAGTCACATTGTCGCCGTCGGCGACAATGTGACTAACTAATGTGACAATGTGACTAATCGGGGTCGTGCCTTCGACAGGTCGACCATCGTGTTCTCCTCACAAAGCTGCAGTGCTATGGCGTTGTTCACCTCACGTACCGCTGTATGCCAGCCTGTCGCCGGGGCGCCCCGGACAGCGTCAGGCGCCTTTGGGGCTGCCAGCTTTCCGCCTGTCGGTGGAGGACCACGGTCTTGTCGCGTCATGAGTTGTTATCCAGGAGTCGTCCACCGTCGACCATCACTGCTCGGCACAACTGCAGGAAATTGACTGAGAAAGTCAGGGCGTTTACAGGGAGTTTGTAATGACATTGTTTTGGCAGGTGATGTTCCATATTTTGGGAGTGTTCTGCTGTGGCGGCGTTGTTATTAAAAGGAGTTTGTCCGTCGCCGTCCGTCACTGCTCGGCACAACTGCAGGAAATTGACTGTGAAAGTCAGGGGTGTTTTACAGGGTATCGTATGACATTGTTTGGCAGGTGACGTTTCATATTTTGGAAGTGTTCTGCTGTGGCGGCGTTGTTATTAAAAGGAGTTTGTCCGTCGCCGTCCGTCACTGCTCGGCACAACTGCAAGGAATTGACTGAGAAAGTCAGGGAATTTACTGGGAGTTTGTTATGACATTGTTTGGCGTATGATGTTTTATATTTTTGGAAGTGTTCTGCTGTGGTGGCGTTGTTATTAAAATAAGTGCACGGCTGTGGTTGCGTTGTTGTTTTTTTAACTTTGTACGGTCGATTTGTATCGAATCAAGCGATAATCCACCTCTTTGATGACTCGTCAATAAATGATCTAACTGAACTACGTATGATGGACCTCAAGCCAGAGTCGTTGAAACCACGTGATAACGCTTATCGCGCCCCAGGTTGATGCTGTCTGCGTGATGCTGCCTTAACGCTTTTTCAGACACACACGAATATTTCATGCCGACATGAACATTTCGCAGTTTGCGGCAGATGCCAAACGTATGACATCCGAATGGAACACGCGTAAGCTAAGAAACATTTGTATCGCAGTGTTTTAAGGTGCGAAAATTATTGTGGAAGCCTGAACCTGCTCGTAATTTTTACTTCCAGCCACATTTGTTCGATATGGTACTCAGGTCACGGCGTTGGCTAGGATGGATTCGGCCTCGGCTGTGGCTCGATGTGCTCCAACTTTCCTCGGTGTACCCTGTCCTCACGGGCGGGCGGCCGCTCATCAGAGCACTGCCCCACCGGTCGGGCCGGGCCGGGTTGGTCTGGAATGTGAGTCCGTCGGTGCCCGGGCGGAGCCTGGTCCGGTGGTCCTGGTCCTTGTCCTGGTCCGGCGGCTTGGTGGGTGGTGCGTCGACCTACCTAAGCCGGTCGCGGGTTGAAATTGCCGTGTTTGCGTCGCCCCAGCTGGGCTTCCTCACGTCCACGAGGTTCTGATATTCCACTAGCCAGACTTTGTGTGGAACGTGCCGGGGCCACGTGGGCCACTTTGGAACGCCTGTCCGGGCTCTGTATCAAAGCTACTGAGGTCAAGGCGAGAGTCGTCTCCGACTGTGTACTTGATGCTGGCTTTGGAAACCACCCGCGTCGACCACTGTGGTTCACAATTGGGACATCGCAAGCGGTCCGGCCAAGCTCAGTGGGGACATCCAGGTCAGTGATCTGGGACGGTTTCATCTCCAGGGTGGCCTGGCTCGAAGAACGTTAACAGCCGCGGCTGGATTGCACATAAGCCAGCCACGGCAAAGGTGCGAGAACGGTTAGCCTGGCTTGCTGTATTGGCATCATCGCTGATAGATCCCACTTGGTGCGAATGATGAGCTCGCACTCTGAGTCAAGGTTTCCGAATCCACACCGAGGCCCCGTTTTGATAAAATAACGTGTGTCGAAAACGTAGGCGTAAACAAAAAACCAGTAGATATTCAGTCTTAAATTAACATGTAGTAGCCAAGGTGGCTGAAACCAGCAGGCGAGCAATGGAAAATCACGAGACGCGGGGGGCCACGCGAGGCGCATGCTGGATGGAAGTCTCCAATGACGTCACGTCAACGCTGAGCAGACGTGGCGCTAAAACTGCCGGACAATCCTACTTCCTTATACCGCCTTGATCCGGCCAGATACGGCGTCGTCCTGCTTGAGCACGTGCTGCGGGTTGGGGCCGTGGGGCGTGTGTCTGTGGATCTGATTTTCTAGTGAACCCGTAATACACTGCAGCGTCTTCGAAACGACTAGGTATGTGCTTAGTCTATGTCTTTGCCTTAATATTTACGAGACAGATTGCTGTTCGTACGGTTTTATTCAGTCGTAGCTTTTGAGGGTTACATTCTAGATGTCGCCGGCCCAGGCCTCTCTTCTTAAAACGTCCTAAATCAACTACGTCTGGCCTGTAACTCGTACACAATGGACAGCATTGGATGAAACAGGCATTGATGAGTACCTCCTGGTACCCTCATAAAGCTACATGTGCCATAAATGACAGTAAATAACTTTTTCCCTTTTGTCTGTTGCCATTCACCTGGCTATGTGGTGCCGAGTAAAGGTGATAAGAGCTGTTCTGAAAGGGTCTGCTGCAACTTCTGATACCACTGTTGAATAATTTGCATATTAGGTGTAGTTGGTTAAGACTATCACACTTGTCACACTGCTGCTTACCATGCTATAAGTAGATAGACTAAAGTAAAGTTAAATGTTAGTGAAAAAGAAGGCTAAGCTAGAAACTCTCCTGTGCTCTTGCTGGTGTGCTGTTCTGACTGCCAAAATGCTGACAACAGCTCAAACAGGGCCTATGAAATTTTACCTTTCCTGCAATATTTTCAGTACTTTTTGAGAGGGTTGTGGCATTGTCTGTTTAGTGCAGCCATGTAAGTCCAGCCTGAAAAAATAATCCTCTGCATTGTATGCACTTTAGTGATATGGGCTCATTGATCCAGGAATATGTCTGGCAAAATGAGATAGTGCAATGTCTAGCTGGATTTTTTCACTTTGCTTAAAAAATGTTCTGGTTAGTTATCCTGGATTTGCACAAGCAACATCATACTATATGTTGAACATCATGTTGTTCTTTGTGCCCTAAGACAGTACTTATTATATGCCAAAACAGTAGCAATTATGAATTAAATGAAGGCTCTCAGATTTATGACTTGCATGTCCTGGAATTGTTGCATAGACAATTTATTATGCTTGACATGTTAGCATTAGGGGCAATTTACTGGTTTATTTTATACCTACAATCCATTACACAATCTGTTATATCACACCTGATTTTGTCTGAGAGTGAGGGCTCAAATCATCAGAGGTCAAGTGCTGGCAAACAGGTCCAATGGTTTATACTGTGTCTGACCTGTGACATATGTGCTGGCAGCAGGTATTTATTTAAAGTTATCATGCATCAATTTGACAAACATCATTATCCTGTGGAAAAAAATTGTGTAATCATTTGTAGCGAATTTCTTAAGTCAAGATCACACCAGGTCAGGTAACCATGCCTGACCACTGCCAGACACATTACTCATTATTACTATTACTCCTGGATGACCTGAGCACAAAGGTTCTTATCATTACTGTAAACCAATATCCAAGTTTAAAAGTGGTAATTATTGATAGTTTATTGCCTTATATATAGTATTGCATAGTTCAATGGGGTTAGATATTACCTGAGTGGCACCTTGCCCATACCCTTTTAACACATGTTTCCAAAAGAGACAGAATCTGAAGAAAGCTACATCTGCAACTTAAATTTTAGTTTTAACCTGGAAGCCCTTTTTAGCCTTTAATTTTAGGATCAAAAGAAAAACATGCCACTCATACCAGTAGTTAGTCAGCTACTTACCATGATATAAACACCACTTCTGGTTAAATTCTGTCCCTGTCTTGTAGTAAGCCTAACCTTTGGGTTGCAGGTACACATACAACTCATATCTGGAGAAATCAGTCTCAGAGAGACAGCATGCTGCTCTTGCAGCATGCTAGTGAGATGCCTGGAGCAGTTCAGTTAGATGCTGACCTGGCTTGTGTCATATGCATGGGTCATTGTGGGTTCATCAAACTGCTATGCTCATAGGCGTGCTACAGTTCCACTCACCATATGGGAGCAAGTGGGAAAACATGTCATGACAAACTCACACCCACGGCCAAGGACCAGTTGCAGCACCTCCAAGCCGCGACGTCCGCGTGTCCGCATCTGATCAGATCGTGATCGTGATCAGATATCTGATCATATCGTGACTGTGATCAGATATATGATGAGATCGTGATCAGATATCTGATCAGATCGTGATCGTGATCAGATATCTGATCAGATCGTGACCGTGATCAGATATATGATGAGATCGTGATCAGATATGTGATGAGATCGTGATCAGATATATGATGAGATCATGATCGTGATCAGGCATCTGATGAGATCATGATCGTGATCAGGTATCTGGTGAGATCGTGAACGTGATCAGATATCTGATGAGACCGTGATCGTGATCAGATATCTGATCAGATCGTGACCGTGATCAGATATCCGTCCATAGTCTGTGACCCATGTCCGCTCTTATCTCCAGACGTTCGTCCCCGCCCCGGGCGTGCTGCACACGGCGACCTCGCCGCAGGAGCTGCTAGCTAGAGGAGCACCGGTGCCCTGCGGTCTGCACGCGCGGCCCGGCGACATGGCGGCGACGTTCGGGATCCACATCGGGGCGACGACCATGTCGATTGCCGTGAGCGCCGGCGGCCGGGTGGAGGTGCTGGCCAACCCGTCCGGCGAGCGTGTCACGCCCGCCGTGGTGCGCTACATGGAGAATGAGGAGGTGAGATGCGGTGTGGGGGAAGGTGAGATGCTGTGTGTGAGGGGGTAAGATGCTGTATGGGAGGGGAATGATGTCCTGTGTGGTAGGAAGTGAGATGCTGTGTGGGATGAAGCAAGATGCCATGTGGGAGGAGGCAAGATGCTGTGTGGGTGGATGTGATTTGTTGTGTTTGTGAGGGGTGTGGCTGTATGGTTTGCGTTTGCGTTTGCGTGTGCGTGTGCGTTTGCGTGTGCGCGTGCGCGTGCGCGTGCGCGTGTGTGTGTGTGTAGGGGATGGGCTGTGGTTGTGTGGCTGTAAGTCGGAGGCATGTGACTGTGTGTGAGAACAGATGAGGATGCATGGGTGGATGTGAGGCTGTGTGTGAGGTGATGAGCTTGCGATGGGAGTCACGACTGTAGGCGAGTGGCCGAGAACAAGTCTGTGATGAAATAAAACCATTTGTTTAAGAGAGTGCGACTGCAAGGACACTGCACCACAAGCCACCGCATCTGTCCATGCTGCCACACTGAGGTGGGCGAGGCGCTGGCAGCTCCGCCGTAACTGGCTCTCCGGCCGCCAGGTGGTGGGCACGGCAGCCAAGCAGGGCTCGGTGCGGCACGCGGCCGTGACGGCGGCGCGCGCCCGCTGCCTGCTGTCGGCGGACGACCGCCAGGCGGCGCTGCAGTCGCGCCTCTGTCCGGCGGACGCGGAGCGCGGCTTCCTGGTGCGCCGCGAGGAGGGCGCCGAGCAGGTGCACTCGGCCACGGACGTGCTGGTCACCCTGCTGAGGCACCTGCACGACGTGGCGCAGCGACAGGTGGAGGCAGGCCCTGTTGTGCCCAGTCTCACGTACCGACGGGGCGTTTCCCCGTCTGGTGGGATTGAACCCCACAGCAACTTCACTTCTGGGTCTCTGCCCTCCTGCTTCACACTGCCTGTTAACTCCCACTGTGTTCACTTTCTGCTCTAACCCCCCCCCCCCCCCCCGGCTCTTCAACACCACCATTGCATTGTGGTCCCCGTCTTCCGCCGGGGAAGTTGGCGGGAGAGGTTCGGACGCTGAATGATCTAGTTTGTTGGTTGCATCGCCGCTTAACCTCAATAACGGCGATGCCCACACGCGGCCAGTGAAGTGCGACCTTCGGCGCCGGCAACCCGCTGACCGCTGGCTCCCGACGACCGCCAGGTGGGCCTGGACCAGACCCAGTTCGACTCGGTGCTGGCCGTGCCGGCGTACTTCTCGGCCGACGAGCGGCGCGCGCTGCGCGAGGCGACCGAGGCGGCTGGCTTCCACGTGCGCCAGCTGGTACTAGAGCCGGTGGCGGCGCTGCTGGCGCACGGCGTCGGCCAGGCGCCGGACGAGGCCGGCGTCAGCGTGTGTCTGGTGGTGCGCGCCGGCGGCGCCACCTCCGACGCCAGCGTCCTCCGCTCGTCGTCAGGCATGTACTCGCTGCTGGAGACCGTGCACCGGGCCGACCTCGGCGGCGACGCGCTCACCGACCTCGTGGCCGACTTCCTGGCCGCCGAGTGCACGGCCAAGTGGAAGACAGACCCGCGCGAGTCGCGCAAGGCGCTCGCCAAGCTGCGCTCGGCCGCCGAGGTGGCCAAGCACGTGCTCTCGTCGATGGCGACGGCGCAGTGCTATGTGGAGTCGCTGCTGGACGGCGTCGACTTTGGCTGTCAGGTGACGCGCGCGCGGCTGGAGAGCGTACTGGCGCCGGCGCTGCAGCAGTGGGTGGAGCTGGCGCGTGCCGCCGTCGCCGGCGCCGGCGTCGACGCCGTCGACCGGCTGGTGCTGGCCGGCGGCGCGGCGCGCGTGCCGCGCCTGCAGCGGCTGCTGGCGGCCGCCTTCCCGGCGGCGCGGCTGCTGGCGGTGCCGGCGCTGGACGAGCTGCTGGCCGAGGGCGCCGCGCGCCAGGCGGCGCTGCTCGGTCAGCAGCCGCCGGACGAGCGGCCGCAGACGGTGGCCGTCGCCGCGCGGCCGCTGTTCGTCCGGTTCGGCGCGGCGGCCGGCGGGCTGCTGGCCGTGCCGGCCGGCGCTCCCGTGCCGTCCGTGCACACCGTGGAGCACGTGACCGAGGCGGCCGGACCGCTCCAGGTGATGCTGGAGGAGGGCGCGCCCGAGGGCGAGCGCACGCCGCTGGCCAAGATGACGGTGAGCCGGCCGGCCGGCGCCCGCCTGCTGGCCACGCTGGTGCTCCGCCGTCAGCAGGGGCTCAGGCTGCGGCTGGCCGACGCCCAGACCGGCCAGGCGCTCGTGGCTGACGTGCCCGCCTGCGGGTGACGTCACGGCGACGGAGGGTGACGTCACGGGTCGCGGCGTGGACAGTGACGCGGAGGGTGACGTCACAGTTGCGAAGGGCGAGCTAGGCGACGGCGGTGTTGGACGTCTCGGTCATTGGCGGTTGCGTCGCGGCGACGTGGCGTGGTGTCGCCGATGTTTGGTGACGTCGCGGCGGTGGAGGTGTCCGGCATGATGGAGAGGGGACTGGCAATCGGTGCACGGCACGCGGAGCCCCAGCGGCAGGCTGGCGACAGGCTTGTGCGCGGAAGAAGGCACTGCTGACTGTGTGGATGAGCGCTGACGTGGGGGGGGGGGGGGGGGGAATGGCCCGCTGGTCGTCGATTGGGTATTTCAGGACGTGGTGTGGACAAGCTGGCTTCGGTTGCGTGCTGTTTCGGCATGGGCGCCAGCTCCGCTGTTGTCGAGCTCCCCGCAGAAATTAAGCGCGTGGCAAAGTGTTGTAATACACAGATGTTTGACGTGGCGTGCGTCCTCCAGCGTTCGGACGTCGCGGCCTGTCCGCCGCGGTACCCACGCTCGGGGTTCGGTGTTTGCGCGCTGGAGGTACGCACCTTCGCCGCCCGCGACCCGTCCCCGGGAGCGTTTGCTGTTAAGTGTATTGTGCAAAGCGATGCAGGGGCCATCTCGCACGCGGGTGTCGCTGCACCCGGCGGGTGCCGCTACACCCGGTGGGTGTCGCTACACCCGGTGGGCGTCCGGTGGTCACTTGCGCACAATCACGCAGCAGGATCCTTAGTGACCAGCTTTTGTCGAAGCTGCATCAGAACCTGGGTCAGCGTCCTATCATGTATTTCTGCGTCGCCTCTCCGCCTCTTCCAGTTTGGAGCTTCAGGACTGGTGCGAGGCGAAGCAAGGCACTTGCGAGGCAACGTAATACAAAACGGTACAAAAAGACCCTTCACAATAATGCGTTTGCTATATCAACGAGGGAGTCATGGCAACAACGTGGCCACATTCATTGGCGGGAGTCGCTGTCATTCGCAAGCATCGGAAGAAGCTGAAGACAATACACAGAGCGTGGTGTGAACGAGAACTCCTCGATGCATGCACGTGCAATGGCGCGGCTGTCGCTTCTCAAAACGCCCGGCAATGTACAACACAATAAAGTACCACCGAAATTTGAATGCGACCTTCGGTCAGCGAACACGTCCTGGCGAAAGGAGCATGTCAACAATATCGCCAGCAAATCAGGGACCTTTGAAAGACTTAAAATGGCGTGCAAACGCAAAAGAATGCGTAGACTCGAATCCATTACTGACACGGGCGCAAGCGGCGCAGCCCGGGGCGGAGGCTAATGGGGGCCTCCCCCGTCAGGTTCGAGCGCAGTGCCTACTTAGGCGCGAATAAATGCAAGTCGGAGTTTTGGTGACCATGAAAACTGATGGTTTTCATCTCAATACACGCCAACATGACGCCACACGTGAGTCAGCAGCCGTCATTTAGTAACACGTCTCTGATGACCGAGCTGGTACGTAGGATACGCAGCTGACATAATAGTTCGAGGCAACAGAACAAAATAACATACGTACGTCATCGATGCGCTAGATGCCGTACCTATAATCGTTTTTTGAGTCTGCTAGTATCTCCGAACTGCGTAGTTACCGTCAATGTGGCTGGGATCATGATAGCCCTCTCCCGTTACAGATTCTAGCCGCGCCGCTGCGGTCACATATCATAATATGAGACATGATATATCAAGTTCCCGCATCCCTGGTACAGAACGGCACAGAGATCGAATAACCTGATCTACAAATATCTTGATCATAATGGGCAGACACAGGCAGCACAATCTGCTCGCCCCGAACGCTACATTCGTAAGATAAGAACAATGGCTCTCATCCAAACCCCGCCAGCGAGACGAGTCGAATTCCTACACAGAAAAACGCATGTAAACTACGTGCGCCAGCCCGCTCACCCCTCCTAGAGTCCGCTCTCGGAACTGCGAGGCTACAGAGGCGGGGGTCAGAGCCATCGCGTTCTCACCCATACCGCACCGGATAGCATGGGTGTCCGGCTTCGACAGTTGGTTTCTCGGCTCTCGACGCATAGACCACGTAGTCATTTAACTCCCACCCACCCACCACCCACCCACTTCTTAGGGAAGGGGTGGCATATGAGGTGTACAAAAGAAGTCCCTCTGCCACGAAAACCTGAAGCCTCGATGCATAGAAAGCTGCTCATTGCGGACACCAATAGTAGCCTTGTCGGCAACGCACTCCACACCTGTCGGCGTCTCGCAAAGCTCTGCTTGTGTTACCACCAACAGGTGGCACCAGTATCCCTCGGACGCAATACCCAGCGTCAGGACCACCGATGTCTCTGGACGCACAGGCTTGCCGCTACAAGCCCAGCCCACTCCGTCAGCATCGCCGAAAGAAGCAGAGGCACGAGCTGACAACAGACGCGCTGGTGATCGCAGTTTTCCTAGCATGATAGCACAGGTCACCCTGCGTCCATATCGACGCCACAGGGCACAGGTCACCCTGCGTCCATATCGACGCCACAGAACAAAGCCGTCCATTCACCGGTGCGAGAGACAAAGTCTGCTGGCACACAGTTCGGCTATGCCCGTCACGAAGATCGACACGATGAAGAGGATGTAGGAGACGCCGACCGTGTAGCTGGGCGGCAGCTGGTAGGGCCACGCTGCCGATCTCGGCCATATGGAAGCCCGCCGGCAGGATCACCCGCAGCCAGACAGAGAAAAATCACTGATGGAAGAGGGCAACTAGTCAGTGCCTGCTGGTCAGTGCCTAACTAGTCAGCACAGCTAGTGCTGGCAACTAGTCTTTCCTTCACCACTTAAAAATTGCATGAGCCTGAAAGAGGGGCGACACGATCAAGCACGAAATATATCTGGTCTCATGCCAAGCCAAGAGAATGAACAGGGACTAAGATCCAGCCCGGAAATGTGTAAAAGATCCTGCGAGAACCAAGATCAAGCCCAGCATCATGTCAAGGGATCCAGCCAGAACCGAGATCCAGCCTAGAACATGTTGAGATCCTGCAAGTACCAATAAACAGCTCAAGATGAAGCTGAGATCCTGATCCTGATCAAGTATTCAGGCATCTTTTTTCGCTTAAGAGTACCATCATGTAGCATGACTTTTCAGCCCGTGCAACAGTGGCTGGTGCCGGCGGGCGCGGCGCCTCACCGGCGGCGAAGCCCAGCCAGCGGGCGGCCAGCTGGAACTGGCTGCTCCAGTGGCCCAGCACCAGCGTCAGCAGCGTGCTGGAGACGCAGAGGCAGCTGCACAGCAGGCAGACCAGCGCCACCAGCCACTCGGCGCAGAGGCGCGGAACGAAGCAGACCTCGGGCCGGCCGCGCGTCGTCTGGCACGACCACAGCAAACCCAGGCGGATGCTCCCTGTGTGGACGACAGAGCAGTCTCAGTGGTTAGTGGTGAGACATGGTGGCTGGCCAGCATCGGTTCTACACTGAGTAGGGAGAAGCATGGTGACTCTCCTTTGACACAGAATGATTGATGTTCTTTATGCTGATGGTAAGACAGATGTCAATGCAGAGACAGGAGTTAAAAATATCCTTCTTGAGACAATGTCTTGCTTTAAAAACCAAGATTGACCATCATAACAATCATATCACCAAAGCAATAATCCTGAGGCAACTGGATATTTATCAAAATAAACCAACTTGTCATGAAACACTGCACTCATTCATACAGGCCTTCATGGAAATGGTCATGTGTGCAAACTACAGCCATAAAGTAGCAAACCATCTTTATTTTTCATATATCTTGGCTTATGCCTACATGGCAGGTTGGCACTTAAAACTAGCACACACCTTAAAACTTAAAACTTAAAACTTAACACACCTTAAAACTAGCTTTCATCAATTTAGTCTAAGCATTTGAGCTGCCTAGAACTATTTTTTTAACAATTTAGTCTAAACATTTGGATAGGATATATTTCAGCAATCAGAGCTTGCACTAAGCCATGCTCAATGTCTGGACTTTGACCCATCATTCAATCAAGAAGCTTCAATTCAAGGGATTAATTTTGGGGCAAGTGTTAACTTTTTGCAAGAATTGACATGGTTTGCCTACTCTGTAACTTTACATGACCTGCAGCGAGCTCTTCCACTGTGAGCTATGCTATGAGCTATGAGCTAAGAGTCAGCTGCAGGTCACTCTGTCTATGAGCAAATGGCACTGAAGCAACTCAAACCCACCCACCTTGCCACACATAGGATGGCAGGCGGATGCTTTTACTGACTGAGCTACACAGGGGTGCACCTAAAAGAAGAAAACCTTCAGCTTCTGGGTCTTCAACACTGGGTTCAAAATTTTTTATGCCGAGTTGTTTGCCTCCAATTTCTAGGATCACAGGTCATGTTACATAGTGCTCATCATATGAGCCCTGACTCTTATGGTCTGATCCTGCAATTCCAAGCAAAGAGCAGATCTTGGTGGCAAAAGTTTACAGATATGTAGTGCTTAGCATGACCATCTGACATAACTTGAACTATAGAGCAGCTGTTGCCACAGCCCACAGACCATACCTGTCTGGGCCAAATAGTGATCACCTAATGCAACCCAAACCTGCCCCACCACAGATGTGTGGATTGGAAGGCAGGTGTTCTAACCAACAAAGCCACAGGGATGAACTAATCCTATGATTATGATATTGAATGGTCTTGGAGAATGACCACAAAATAAAATGTGAAACACCACAACTAAAACAATTGTTTATCACTACAGCATTGCTTAACCTGCGCCTCCTGGCATGCTGAAGGTCATTAACATTCCCGCCATGTTCAGCTTTTTCCAGTTATGACTAGCATTAAATGGCATACTCAGAAATCCATCGACAGTATCAAAGAAATGTGAAAAATCAGGACTTGACCCCTTTTGCACAAGCCTTACCTCCAATGTCAGACACAATCCAGTCAGGTGTAGCGATGCTCACAATAATCAAAACGTGGACGATCAGAAAAGTCGCAAATGCTACCAGACTTATCTTGTCCATCATGCACGCTATGATATATAACCTATAGTATTCCGTTCATGCCATTATTGTCATCGGAAATCTATGACCCATCTTCCCATTTTGTGCCTTTTGCTGGACTCGTCTCTGCTGCGGCTTTACTCGACTACAAATAAAGGAATTGAGCGGCACTGAAATTGTTAAGGCATGAACAGAAAACAATGTGAGCGCTTTATTTTCATAATTAAAAGGCATGTGAATTTGAATTTACATTACATTCATGGAGTGTCACGCCTCTGGATCACACAACATCCGACAATCATATTTTCATCATCCCATCTTACTGATCAAGTCGTATAGTTATTTTGTATTTTGATGTGCCGAAAATGAATACAAAAAGGCAGTCGATAAACATTTTGTAGAATAGAGTAGTCAAATATGAATTAACATGTTGGCTTTTGACAGATAAATACACCGAAATCGCCGGAAAATAAAGTATTTTCCACAAGGAAGGTCTTATTATCTTATTCTAAAGTGACGGATTTGCGACGAAATCGTCGAATGGTCACTCGTGAGCATCAAGTGACTTTTGAAAACAAACACGCAGTGCGGGTGCGGGAAGCGCGTGTCGCGTTTAGGCAGTTTCTGTGTGATTACTTAGCCTAAATGAGAGGGGAGAGGACTCGGAACTACTCCCTTGTTTGTATATGTCATCAGTTTCGTTTTATATCACTGGCTACCGAGTGTTATTGAGCCTGCTGAAGAGTTTTTTTCAGGACGTGAAGCGACAACTGAGTGCCAGAATACCAAACAGCATAAACACGTAGTTTCTGCATTTGGTCCATGACGCTGGTACGTAAATGGGTCTCAGTGCTTGCACATGGGAATGAGATGGTTTTTGATGTGAGTGGCATCACCAATTATTTTACTTAAGCCGTAAATGTCTCGTCTTCTATGTCCGGATTACATAAAATAGATGTACTGCTGGACATCTCTGCTTACGATGACATAATGGCAACATTTTTAGAAGTGTTCTCTTTGCAGTATTTTTAGCACTGCAATTTTTCTGCACACTGTTCAAGGGAATTGTAGTGTTGTAGAGGTAATTCCAAACAAAAATATTGTGACAATTTTTCAAGCAAATATGATAAAAAAGTTTGGCACAACAAGCCCTGGCTATGGTGAGCATGTGCACCAGGCTCATTTACTATGTCATCTGGGTGTTGGGGTGAACCTGATTTTTCTCACCAACACAATGCTGCCTAACATGGACTGCTTTGCAGTCATGTAGAGGTAAAATATGTATTGAGTGTAGTAGAATCTAAGCTGGTGTTATGGGCAATATATAGAACCATGTTTTCTCAGTGTGGTGTGCTAAATCTGCTTTTTTGATGTTTTGTGTTCAATTTATGGATTTTTTGTGCAAATTTTCATATATTTTGGGGGGTAAAATATATCATCAAACATGATTTGTATAATTTTTGCTTGTTGTTTGCCCTGAAGCATCATATTTCCCTGCAACATTGACTGTGTATTAGAGTTGGTGCTGACTGTGCCCTTATTATATATAAAATATATTATGCATCATTGTTGTTATGCCAGTGCTGACATGTTCTTGGTGGCACATATTTTTGCAGTAGGTACTCAGTGAGGTAAAGTAACAATGCTTCAATTTTAATATGAGTCTGTTAATGGAAATAGTATGCTGTCTATTCCATGTTGTAGTGAGGGAAGGGGCCTGAACACCTCCAGGTGAATGTGAAGATGCACGTCCTGTACCGTTCATGTACGTTCATGCAAGTCCGTGCACATTCCATGCACAACCAAACTGTTTGTACTTATATGACTAGTGATTAGGACTACTTCAGTGCTTCATCATTTTATGGATATGATATTTGCTGTATTTGCTAGCCATTTTGCTTCCTTTGTGTGTGTCCAACACAGTTCAAACTTTCAATAGCCATTGAGAAAATTTGTGTTGAGCTGTCATTGTTGTCAGGACTTTACAATGTCCTTGCCTACTGAGGCTACATGTTGTATGCCTCTCACCCTGCAATAAAGATGGGCTTCACTGGAGATGAAACTCTGTATCAAGTTTTAAGTTTCACTGATGAACAGTTTAACCACTGTGCTATATATCCCACTTGCTGGGCTGACTTCATCAATTTGCTTACATATATTGTCCCATTTGTCCCAAATATTGCATTGATGATAATTTAATGCAGTTTTCTTTAAATGCCTGGAAATTGTTTGAACCTCCATGTGAAAAAGTGGGAGGGTCTGTTGCGACTTTGGCAATGATTCACATGTCATCACAGGTCATGCTATTTCTTTTGTTTCAGTTCATTGCAGCTAAGATGGCATATTGATCAAAAATGAAAAAAGTTAATTATAACAATATTGGTAATGAACACAGGAACCTCCAAATCAGACCATCCTGACTGCAGGGCAGTTTAAATCAAAAAGGTGCTACTTCCTGTGGTCCAGACTGGCCATTCAATAGGAAAGTAATATGCAATCATGGTCTGGATCAGACTGCATAGAAAAAAGAAGCACAGTTGCAACTAAGCATCACACCATATCATAGCTCATTATTCTCAAGGAGTATTATACACCATAAGGTCAAATTTGTATGATTATTTTTTAAATTTTCTTGATAATGTGCAATGATAATTCAAACAATGATAGTATGGGTATAAATAGTAGGGTACACAAGTGGGCATTATATAGTTGTGTGAACTTGTGTTGCCTATCATTCCCACAGATGCCACCATATCCAGACAGAAAATGAAGAGACTTTGTAAGATAGCCCTTCTTGGGCTTATATTTTTGATACATGCAGCTGGGAGTTTTGGGAAAGGAGAAGATAGGCAGGATACTGACTCACTCAGAAGGAATGAGTACTACAACAGTAACATGGATGGAGATGTTACCTTGGAAGATGAGCAGGAAGATACAATTGAGGAAGAAATTGAAAAGCTGGGGAGTGACATTAAGGCATATTTCAAGCACAGCGACATAGAGAAAGGTCACATAGATAACACACAAAAAGAGCAGGTAAGTTTATGTGCTCCAGATATTTCCACTTTATCTTTCTTTAATCATCATCTTTAATGTCTTTAACATCATTTAACAACATCATTCTTTAATATCTTTAATATTTAACATCTTTAACATCTTTCATCATAATCTAACATCATAGCATCATCTTTAACAGGGTATCATGATGCACCACACCTGATCGCCACTGCAGAGTGATGTCACGTCATTGGGGCTTTACGACACACTCAGCTGCTGAGGCTATATGGCGTCACCTGCCTCTCACCCTGGCAGGAAGGGCGGGTGCCGCGGGGAATCGAACCCGTACCTCCGGTTTCCCAGACGCACAGTGGTTATCACAGACGCATTAACCGCTATACTACCGGCGCCTCACACTGTGGAGTACTAAAGCCCAGCAAGCCAACCAAATTCTAGCTTGATGGCTTCTCGCAGTCTACACCATGATGTAAGTGAGTGCTTGGATTATTAGCACTTGTGCTCAGAACCCTGAAATCTCAGCAGAAATACTGTACATTGTGTAATTGTTGAATGATATGTAACAACAACAGATAAGAAGTTATATTTTCTTTGTCCATGGCTAGGTACAATTCAGTATGCTGGTAAATTATCTACAGTCAAGGTCAATGTTGGACCCTGGGCCCAATAGGCTTTGTATTGTGTCAAGTTGTGTGCTGCACAGGACCCCATGGCGTGAACCTTATCAGGTGCAACAACCTATCCACCCTATGCTTTACCCTACCTGCGCCCCATCTCACCTTGCATGCTGTCAAATACTGCACCCTCTCAGCCCAGCATTCCACCTTCCATATTGTACTCCACTCCACTGCACTGTCCTCTGCCCCTGATCTGACCTGCCCTGACCTGTTCTGACCTGTTCTGACATGACCTGATCTGAACTGACCTGACCTGACCTGACCTGACCTGACCTGACCTGACCCGTGGCCGCCACACCGTGCGCTGTGGGCACCTGACACAGCTGAGGAGGTGGCCTGCTGCCTGTCAGGTATCGGCTGTGATCCCGACCGCCGACGAGGAGGACCTGATGCTGGTCTCCACGCTGACGGGCCGGCTGTACGGCCTGAGCCGCGCCTCGGGCACCGTGCTCTGGACGCTGGAGCGCGGCCCGGCCGTGCGCGCGCCCGACACCCAGCTGCGCCAGGCCGAGTAGGTGCCCGGCATCACCGCCGCCGCCGGCAGCGGGCGGTCCGGGGCCGCCGCGCGCGCCCGCGGCTTGTGTGGCGGCAGCGCTGGTGTGCCGGTGCTTTGATGGCTGTCCAATGCCATGGACAGAGAGGCCATGGTGCAGCCCGCTGGATTGTGATAGTTGGGTGGTAGTGTGATTGTCATCGTTTCAGTGAAGTCTGCGAGCTGCGACGTTCGTCTGCGTCTGCCGTGCTGTGATGTTGTGACGTCACTGTGGCATCATCCCTGCAGGGCAGCGTTTCCACCGAACCGTCGGACGACAGGCTGTATGCACTGTTGTAACGTCACTATGATATCATCCCGGCAGGGCGGCGTTCCTGCCGGACCCGTTGGACGGCAGCCTGTATGCGCTGTTGTGACGTCACCATGCCATCACCCTGGCATGTATGCGCCCTTATGCCGTCACTGTGACGTCATCCCTGCGGGGCAGCGTTCCCGCCGGACCCGTTGGACGGCAGCCTGTATGCGCTGTTGTGACGTCACCATGCCATCACCCTGGCATGTATGCGCCCTTATGCCGTCACTATGACGTCATCCCAGCAGGGCGGCGTTCCCGCCGGACCCGTTGGACAGCAGCCTGTATGCGCTGTTGTGACGTCACCATGCCATCACCCTGGCATGTATGCGCCTGTATGCCGTCACTGTGACGTCATCCCTGTGGGGCGGCGTTTCTGCCGGACCCGTCGGACGACAGGCTGTATGCACTGTTATGACGTCACTATGACGTCATTCCAGCAGGGCGGCGTTCCTGCGGGACCCGTTGAACGGCAGCCTGTATGCGTTGTTGTGACGTCACCATGCCATCACCCCGGCATGTATGCGCTCTTATGCCGTCACTGTGACGTCATCCCAGCGGGGCGGCGTTTCTGCCGGACCCATCGGACGACAGGCGGTATGCACTGTTGTGACGTCACTGTGATATCATTCCAGCAGGGCGGGCGTTCCTGCCGGACCCGTCGGACGGCAGCCTGTATGCGCTGCTGTCACGTCACCATGCCATCATCCCGGCATGTATGCACTCTTATGCCGTCACTGTGACGTCATCCCAGCAGGGCGGCGTTCCTGCCGGACCCGTCGGACGACAGGCTGTATGCACTGTTATGTCAACGCTATGACGTCATCACAGTAGGGCGGCGATCCTGCCGGACCCGTCGGACGACAGGCTGTATGCACTCTTATGCCGTCACTGTGACGTCATCCCAGCAGGGCGGCGTTCCTGCCGGACCCGTCGGACGGCAGCCTGTACATGCTGGGCGGACCGGGCCGGGACTCGCTGCGGAAGCTGCCGTTCACAGTGCCGGAGCTGGTGTCGGCGGCGCCGTGCCGCAGCTCGGACGGCCTGCTCTACACCGGCAAAAAGGTAGCGCACCTGGTCGCGAGCTATGATGTGCGACACCGGCCTCCCGGTCTGATGTGGGCTGGACTTCACGCTAGTAGAAGGGGCCGGCCGGGGGCTGAGTAGAAACGCATGCGCGCGGTTAGAAGGGCGTTATATGAAGGTTCAGGGAGGGGTCTATTTGTACACCAACAAACGTGTACTCTGAGGAGGGGCAAGGAGGGTGCTCTCGCACACCGGAGGGTCGGTGGTATGGGGACCAGAGGGGACCATGCGCACCGGTAGAAGGTGCCGCACTGTGTATAGGACAGCTGTCACGCGGGACCATGCCGGTGCGCAGACACTGAATCCTGGGGAGAAGTATGGCCGGGGGCTGGTGGTGAGGCACGAGCCTCCCACAGTAACAGCAGGCACCGCTGGTGGTCGGGCCACGGCACTGCCGTCTGCACATGGCAGGCGATGGCGCCGGGAGCCATAGCGCCCAGTAGCCTTCTGTTCACCGGCAGAAGAGCGCCTCCGGCGGCTCGGCGGGCGTGTGTCCTGCTCAGCGGGTGGACGCCGGCGCGCGGGCTGAACTGTAGCGAGCACGTCCCGGCAACATGGCGGTGATGGCCACAAGCTCTCAGCTCCGCGCCAATTGCGGTAGTGTCCGTCATGGGCGTGATGCCGTGGTCAGCGCGCTAACCTGGCGTGGTTTGTCTTTTGCATTAATGCGTACAGCTGCCAGCGACGGACTCCTGAGCGACAGTGGGTATTAGGTGTCGCGACAAGCCCTCCACGTCACAGGCCCATCGGCGTGACATAGCAAGACTAGGAAGTGAGCCCGCTGTCACCCGACCTGACCCGACCTGACCCGACTCGACCTGGCATGCTCCGAGGGTGCCCGCTCCGAGCGAACTTAACCTGACCTGATCTGCCCCGGCGCTGGAGCTGGGCTGTCATGGCCCCGGCCGTGAAGTGGCCCGTGACCTGACAGCGCCCACGTGACGACAGGTGGAGTGACGGGACCGGATTTAAATGCTGACCTGACCTGACATTTACCCCTGACCTTGACCCCTCACCTGGCAGGTGGACGGCTGATTGGCTGTGGACTGGGTGGCGGGCCAGGTACATGAGGCCCTGACCTTGACCCCTGACCAGGCAGGTGGACGGCTGATTGGCTGTGGACTGGGTGGCGGGCCAGGTACATGAGGCCCTGACCTTGACCCCTGACCAGGCAGGTGGACGGCTGGCTGGCTGTGGACTGGGCGACGGACCAGGCACAGGAGGCCCTGACCTTGACCCCTGACCTGGCAGGTGGACGGCTGGCTGGCTGTGGACTGGGTGACGGACCAGGCACAGAAGGCCCTGACCTCGACCCCTGACCTGGCAGGTGGACGGCTGGCTGGCTGTGGACTGGGTGACGGGCCAGGTGCAGGAGGAGCTGACATCGGAGGGCTCCAGCCGCTCGTGCCCGGTTAACAGCCCGCACACTGTCTTCATCGGACGTACAGGTACGGGCACGACGCGCCAAGTTCGGTTGGCCATTACTTGCTTTGGGAGCGTATGAGAATGTGCGACTGACCGTGGGTAAGTCAACGTTTGTGGACTGTTCTGTCATGGAAGTATTGGTCCTGCTGGATATCGCGGTAAGCTTGTAAGGTGCGCGTCAGCCATGGGGCTAGGCCAGCTGAGCCATGGCTGCGGTCCGTGACGACGGCCGGCGGTTTTGCTTGCGCTTGCTGCTGGCTCCCGTTATTGGCATGTTGTCGGTACTGCTCTCGCCCCCTCCCCCTGCTCCAGCTGCCGCGGCAGCAGCTGTGCGCCGGCGGTGCCCCCCCCCCCCCGCCCCCCAGTCTGCAGCGGCCTGCCCCCTCGTCTCGACCTCGCCCCCTCCTGCGGCGGCGTCTGGCGCTGCCCCCGCCCACAGCCGCAGACGCGCGCCGCCGGTATTGATCCTGTTGACAATCACACCAGCTCGGCGGCCACACGGCTGCGGCAGCGTGTGGTGCCACAGGTGGCCGGCGGCTTATACCGCCGGGTTTGTGGTGTTCAGCGTGTGGCTGTGGGCTGGGGGACCGGGGCAGAGTGGGGCGTCCTCTGGCGGCAGGCGGTCTCGAGTGTCGGGGCCGTCCGGAAGCGTAATCTCTGCAGCGGTGATCAGCTGCGTCTTGTGGACAGCTGGCGGCTAGTCACCTCGAGGCGTGGGGCTGTTGAGACCGTGTTTTGGGACACGTGAGTGTCCGCGGACATGATTTGGATGTGCCGATTTTGATTCGTGTCTCCCAGGCTTGACGCATGGGGCGATGGTGCTTTCATATTCCGGTGTTACAACTAAGCATTTAACAGTTGCAATGTTCCGCCGTACTGTGGTCTGACAATGAACGCGAGCCAATTTCGAACATACGAAACAACATAATGAGTCCGGCGCGGCGTCCCAAAAGCCCGCCGCGCCGTGATTGGTCGCATGGCGAGACGATCAAGCCGTTGGCAGCGGGGCTGGTGGCCGCCGCAGCTCCGCTGTCTTCGGGCTCGTGACCCCGCACGATAGAGGGCGTGACCCGGCGCGGCGTCAGCGAGCTGTGTAGTGACGTCATGCACTTGGTCCCCATGCCAAGCTCGCACTGGCGCAGAACACGCGACGGAGGCAACGAGGAATCCGCACTGAACGCCGACTGGACGCGTGGACAGGCGTTCGGAACCGTTTTCGGTGCAACGTTCGTGAGCGTAGCGGTCGGTCGTAGGTTCGCTATTGAACGTAAAAATGAGGCGGGGCACCCCCGCCACAGAACCGCGGCCCCTGAAGCCCTGGGGGGGGGGCGGGGGGCGTGGCGGGGGGCGGGGGGGGGGGTCTGGTTTGGCCCACCCCAAACCGCAAAGGGTCAGTAGTAGGTCGGCCACGATAAGCGCCGCGCAGCCCGTGCAGTGGGAGTAGGACTGGTTCGCCGAGTTGTACCGGAACCTGTCCAGAGCCGCCAGGATTCCGGCCCAGCCACCGGCCCAGCCGACTGGCCCGGGTCTCCCGCGGTCGGTGGAGCCGAAAACCGGCACGGCGGGCACGGGCGGCGTCAGGGGGATCTGAGAGGGGGGCGGGGGGCGGGTACACGGGTGTGTGTCACGTCTTGCAGGCGCTGATCGCTACAGAGGCGCCGGATGCGTGACAATGCGTGACGTGTCATCCGCGCCCCTGTCTGAACGCAGTAACTTCAGCGTACGGTGCCGGGATCTCGGCGGTTTCTTGACGTCCGCTCTTGCTCGGCGCGTAAACGGCGTCACACACGCGTCACTGACGCCGTGGCCGTGACGGCCGGCGTAGCGTGACGCCGTCACAGACGGCGGTCGACAGCAGACGGACCTGTGTCCGAACCAGCACCGCTGGCAACGCCGCCCCGAGACCGGGCGCCTGGGTTGTGCTGTGGCTCTGGTTGTTACAATCACGCGGCGGCGAGGAAAAGTGGAAGCAGGTCCACATCTCGCCGGGTGCTGTTGAAGCGGTGGAGTTTTCCTCTGCCACCCGCCCCCTGCCGCTGTCGTGCAGGGTGGAGCGATGCTGAATTGTTGACGTGGCAAGCCCAGCAAACGGCATACACAGCAGCTGACTGATTGACGTCATACCGGGCGAAGCGAGGAATGCGCTTCGGCGGGGTAACTCCGCTGGGTCACGTCCCGCAGAATGGGCGTTGCCGAAGTTACGAATAGGCTTACATAATCAAGAACGGTCTGGTGGCGTACACTGCTGGTATCAATGGGAACCGTGTACGGCGTACACTGCTGGTGTCAGTCGGGACCGTGTACCGCATACACCGCTGGTGTCAGTCGGGACCGCGTACCGCGTACACTGCTGGTGTCAGTCGGGACCGTGTACCGCATACACCGCTGGTGTCAGTCGGGACCGTGTACCGCGCACACTGCTGGTGTCAGTCGGGACCGCGTACCGCGCACACTGGTGGTGTCGGTAGGGACGGTGTACCGCGTACACTGATGGTCCCAGTCGGGTCCGTGTACCGCGTACACCGCTGGTGTCAGTCGGGACGGTGTACCGCGTACACTGCTGGTGTCAGTCGGGACGGTGTACCGCGTACACTGCTGGTGTCAGTCGGGACCGCGTACCGCGCACGCTGGTGGTGTCGGTCGGGACGGTATACCGCGTACACTGATGGTGCCAGTCGGGTCCGTGTACCGCGTACACCGCTGGTGTCAGTCGGGTCCGTGTACCGCGTACACTGCTGGTGTCAGTCGGGGCCGTGCACCGCGTACTTTGTTGGTGTCAGTCGGGACCGTGGTGGTGTCAGTCAGGACCGTGTACGGCGTTCACTGGTGGTGACAGTCGGGACCGCGTGATCGCGTACCCCGCAGCGGTTCTCTGCTCTAGAGTAACATGTGAGCTCGCTGCGTGCTGTTCGTGCAACGTTCGGATTATAGCATGCAGGCATCGCATGATTTTCGCCTTTTTTGGGCAACCTGCCACTTAGTGCTGCTGGGTGGGTCACGAAGCGCGGTTCAGCCGTGGCTCGTGCCTCACCTGTCTGGCTGACGTGAACTGAGGCTTGTTAGTCTTCATGCACTCGGACAACGCCTCGCGCTGCGCAATCTTGCCAAAGTGTTTGATATGTATGAGGTATCATGTTCGTGCGGACGTTGTTTCGAATTCAGTCACGCGTCTCTGAGCATGATGACGGCGGGGGCAGAACAGGCATTGCCCCGGGTAGTTTGTTTTGTTTCATCTGCAAACCTCCGTGTCCGGCTTGGCTTGATCGTAAGTCGAGCTGCCCCTCTTCCCCTCCCCCCCCCCCGCTCTGCGCCCCCTGAAACCATGTGCGGATTATTGTGTCTCACTGAGACTTCCTCCCCCTTGCGATGGTCGCATCGATCGCTGTCAGCATTTAAGGAAGCGCTCCCAAAATCGCCAATGGGGACAACGCCATGGTTTAAGGGGAGAGGGAGTTTAATCGTTAGACTGCAGCGAATGTATGAAGCTCCGTCTGACGGTATTCGGAGCATGTTGTTGACCGTTTTGTTACCAGTTCTCCGCTACTTTTCGCCATCGCCACCCCCATCGCCACGCCGCATTTCGCCATCGCCTTCGCCGCATTACGCTCCGCGGCACATCTCTGGTGCATGCACGACGTGTTGACGCGGTCACTTCCTGTCGGCAGAGTACACAGTGTCGATGCACGACAGTAAGGCGGGCAGCCGGCGCTGGAACATCAGCTTCACCCAGTACTCGGCGCTGGAGATGCCGCCCGAACTGCTGGCCAAGTACCGTGAGTGGCACCGGGCAATCTCCTGGGAAGTCTGCTGGACGTCCAGATAGAGTCTGCTGGACTCCAGGGGCTGCTGGACGTCCAGACAGAGCCCACTCGGTCCGAGTCTGTGGGCGAGGGTGATCTGCGCCCCTGGAGTGCCGGGGCTCTCCCAGAGCGCTGGGTGTCATGCGGCGCACGCCGTGTGTTGGCCGCACCCTCTCACGGCCCCTGGTTATGAACCGTTTGGGGAATACGGCCCTTGCGCCACCACCACTCATCGCAGCATGTACTCAGGTCTATTGTATACTGAAGATGGATTGGTTAACGTGTGAGTGGTCTTGCCGCCGTTAGCGTATCGTATTGAAAGAGATGACGGTGGTGGCTTGTTTCCAACGGTCCCTCAATTTCTTGTCGACGTCAGGCTTGGAGCGAGTTGTGTATGTCGCTAATCGGTCCGTCGTAGGCACTTACTAGATCACAGTGACGTGTTTAATAACGCTTGTGCTAATGGTCATCAATCACCACGAGCACAACAACACAACGCAACGCAACTTGTCACCCCGTCCTCGTCAGCAAATGCAACCCCAGCACCTCGTCCATAAGTTCGTTCATGACTACAACTCAACGCGCCACGATTTATAATTTCCTAAGTCGATTCCTACTAACATCGACTCCGCCATGGTGACGTCCACACGGGGGGCTGCAGGTTCCCTTCTGTCAGCTCCGCCCTACCCGTGTCTATCAGGGCTGACAAGCCGGCGTTCAGCCGAGTCCGTGAGACGTGGCCACGTGCCGCGCGGCGCGGGGCGGCTCTGTGACGCGCGCTGTGCCGCCGTGTGTTTCAGCGATGAACCATTTCTCCACCACGTCGTCGGGCCGGATCATGAGCTTCAGCCGGGAGACGGGCAGTCACCTCTGGCAGGTGAGTCCGCGGAGACGCAGCGACGGCCAAACACGCCAGGGACGTGGGGTAGACAAGGGACACGGGGACAGTCAAAGACGCCAGGGATATGGGATAGACACGAACACCGGGACAGTCAAAGACGCCAGGGATATAGGGTAGACACGGGACACAGGGACAGTCAAAGACGCCAGAAACATGGTGTAGACACGGAACACCGGGACAGTCAAAGGCGCCAGGGACAGGGGTTAGACGCGGGACCAGGAACAGCCCAACACATCAGGGAGATGGAGAAGACATGAAGCATACGGGCAGCCAAGCACGCCAAGGACGTGCGGTAGACAAGGGACACGGGGACGACAAAACACGCCAGGTCACTTTCACCGCCGATCACGTTTGGCTATTTCTGCTTTAATGCGGAAGTAGTGTGAAGTAGTGTGAAGTTCTGATTGCCTTTAACTAGTGTCGAACGGTGTTCGCAGCTCTGACAGCGCACAAATGTAAGCCAGTTTCATCGACCCGAAGCCCTCGGAGCCGCTCTCATTCCGTGACTGACCGGTGCTGTTCGTGTGACGATGCCTGTCGTGTTTCATACATGCCCACCAGCGTGTCCCGTCTCAGCCGCCAGATGGTGGTAGTGCGACAGGCGCGCGATGTTGTGGCCGCTGCCGGCTTGATGTAGCTCGGATGCGTAGTGGTTGAGTGGATTGGCGCCTTTGGATCCCACGTGGGGGCCCGGGCTGTGGTCCCCGTGGACGCATGGGTCCTGAGCGCTTACGTGGCGTCGACAGTCGTTGACGCTCTATGGAATGGCACGCGGCAGCGTGCGTCGCGTTCTCGGTACAAAGGGGCCTCATAACGCTCAACACGTTCGGCGAATCGATACCAGTCAACTACCACCTGTCGCGCCGGCAATCCGTTCATCTCCAGCCGATACTTCAGCTTGTCATTCACCACCTGATTTGCGGGCGAGTCCATCTGACGGCGCCGCCGCCGGCGTCCTCCCCCGCAGACGGAGCTGGACTCGCCCGTCGTCGCCGTGTACGCGCTGGCGTTCGACGCGCTCTACGCCGTGCCGCACACTACCGTGGCCACGGAGACGCTGCGCGCGCTCACCCATGACGTCATGGAGGCCAGGCAGCTCGTGTGAGTGACCGCAGTGTGACGTCACGTCGTCGGAGGATGGCGTCACCTTCCGTTAGCTGTGTGCGGTCGTCACTGAGCGGCTGTTAAGCTTGGTGAAAGAGAAATGAGGAGTGTTACTCATGACAAGTGACCGTCTAGCTAAGCTTAAGGCTTAAACTTGTTCCGTGGAACCCTGCCTTTGCGTGGATCAGGCACGGCTCGTCCTGGGATGCTGCGTCTCGTGACGCGTCAGCTGGCTGGTGAGGGTCACGCGCTCCCGAAAGCTCTCCAGAACCCGATCGAGTCCCTGAGTCTCTCGTCGCGTCGTCTGCCGACTGACTCCCTCGCCCGTGCTCGCAGGCCCACCCTCTACATCGGCGAGCACAAGCACGGCCTGTATGCGCTGCCGTCATTGGTGGACGCGTCAACCGTGCACGTCATCACCAGCCAATCACGGCGCCCGCTGATCGACGGGCCGCGCGACGGGGGCGGAGACTCGGCCACCGGTGGCCAATCAGGGAGCTACTTTAAGCTGCACGACGAGGACAAGAAACCAAAACTGCTGCAAATTGGTAAGACAAGGGCATGCAGTATCAAGTCTGGACATACTTGAATCCACGCCAGTAGCGGCTCCCTTCTGTGGTGATATGTGGATCTGATTATGTCCATTTTGTGGTGGTATGTGGATCTGATTATATCCATTTTATGGTGGTGTGTAGATCTAATTGACCAATGCCAATTGCTTTTGACTGCCGCTTCATGACACGACATTGCTTCATCAGCATAATGTTAGATCACTGACATCGTCTGACCTTTTGATACATTACATTTTCTGAGCGCTGCCTGGCCCGCTTGTAGTGGATGAGCCCGAAAACCCCGAATCATCGTCACCCATTACGTCGCTGACCGACATGACTGCGAACCCCGGTCGCTATAACACGGACCCCGGCCACTATAACACGGACCCCGGCCACTATAACGGACCCGAATCACTGACGTGTAGCACGTGATCCGGCTAGAGCTGACATCTGATATGGGCGCCATATGGCCGTTGTAGTTGGGGCGCCCCAAAACCCAAATCATCAGCTGACATCTGATGACCTCTGATGACCTCTGACCTTGGCCCAAGGTCACTGTGATGTGCTTTAGGCGCCCTGCCAAAGCGAAGCTCCAGTGACGTCATCATTTTACTATGACCCGCCCGTCAATAACAACAAATTCATTTCCTGAACACACATTTTTGGGAACGTCATTGCAGGTCGGCGCTAAGACAGATCCCTTAACAAGAGGCGCCTCTGTGCGTGTTTGATGTGAACGTGACAGTCGACTGACGGCCGTTACGGACGCGGGCCCACGTGTGATGTCGACCGCCGCCACCCCGACGGGCTGGCCACCGTCACCGAGCCGTCATCCGGACTCCGAGCCGGAGATGACCTCTGGTGACTTCTGGCCCTGATCTCGGGCCGCCAAGATGTGCCGAACTTCAGCCGGTCGGAGTTGACCTCGGCCAAGCCCGCCGTCGTTACCTCTGGCGACCTTTGTGACCTCTGGTGACCTCTGTGACCCCTGAATGACCTCGGACCCCGATCTCAGGTCACTACGATGTGCCGAACGTCAGCCGGTCGGAGTTGACCCCGCTCAGCCCGCCGTCGGGGGAGCGGGGTCGCGCCGCCCGGCCCAAGCCCAGCACGTACCTGCCGCCGGCCTGGACCGAGGCTCAGACGCAGACGGAGGCCGCCGACCGGTCCCGACGGTCCTGGCTCTGGCTCTGGACTCAGGTACGGCACCGGCGACGGGACGGGCCGTGGCAGCGGCAAAGCCATTGGCGCTGGCAGGCGGCGGCAGCGGCGCCGGCGGGCAGACGGCGATGGCGGCGGCGGGTAGACGGTGGTGGTGCCGGCAGGTAGATGACGATGGCGCCGGCGGGTAGACGGCGGTGGGAAAGGCAGACAGCACGGACGTCATGCTGTTTCGCCGCGCGCCGTTCTGTGCTGTTGCCTGTGTTGGGCGGTGGTGTTGGATTCTTGCGATGGCTCCCAGAAAACACGATCGGAAGTGTGTCTCTGCGGCCGCGGTTGGCGGTGTACTGCAGAGCCAGTGGTGGGGTTAGAGGGCAGCTCGGATCCTCAGACCTGCGGTCAAGCGTCGTTCTGCTTGGTATTGAACCGGCGGCAACCGGTCTGAGAACCCTATGGCGCATATAACCCCGGTCTGAGAACCCACATGTGGCGCAGGTCACAGTGATGGTATGCGCCAGCAGTGCGAGCACAGCGTACATTGACTGTCTAAAAACCACGACAGGCCATATGTGTGAATCTGTCCGTCTACCGTGGTTTGGCTTGCTACATAGAACTGATCTGCTGAACTGCTGCACCCGTGATGACCGTTGTTGACCTGATGCACCTCAAGGTGACCTATGGCCTCGTCGCGGCGCTCACGCCCGCGCCGTGCCGATCCCTGGTCACTCGGCGCGCTCTGGGATGACCTCTGACCCCAAACCGAACGTCGGTTTCAGCTCCTCCCCGCGCGGACCCACGATGACCCGCTGCCCCTGGTGTTGACCCCTGACCCGTGCCACCAGGCGCGCACGTTCTGACCCACGATGACCCCCTGCCCATGGTGCTGACCTCTGACCCCTGCCGCCAGGTGCGCACGTTCAACGTCACATTCCTGCTATCGGCCGGCGAGTGGGCGGCGCTGATCTCTGACCTGACGGGGTCGGCCGACCCGGTGACCTCGGCCGCCACCGAGCGCGCGCTGTTCGTGCTGACGGTGCTGGCGCTGGCGGCGTTGGCGCTGGCGTTGCTCCGACGACGGGTACGGGCGCTGCTGCGGCGCGGGAGACGCGAGGCCGTGGGCGGGCTCGCGAACTGAGGGTTGTTGACCTTCTCCGTGGGGCTGGCGTCTGGATGGAGATCCCTCTGATTGTTTGACCTTGTGCGGGCGTTGTTTGTAGGTGTTAGATATGTATATTTGAGCTTCCCTCGCAGTGTGTGCGCCGGTGCAGGATAGATAGAAGTAAAGAAGTGCTTGAAGCTGATGCACTGGTAGACCCATGCTATCCTTTAACCCGAATAGTATCGGATCTTTGCCCCGGAATATACAAGAGACCTGTTGTTGGTGACAATCCTGTGCGGCTGGGAAGGGGGGCATGAGCAGGCTGTCGACCATCTTTGCCCACCCGACCCAGCGGCATCACCTGCTCCATGACAGCACTGGCACACCCTTGAACTGTGGGCCCACTTCGGGGACCTGCTGGGGGCGCTGTCCCGGTCCTGAGGTTTCCTGCGGCTCATGTGTGTTTGTGTGAACCCTGTACTTGGGGATGCCTCGTTCGCGATCTCCTGATCCTCTGGCTGACTCTGTGTGATCCTGTCCTGGCCGAGCCCCGTGTGGCTCCGGTCCTTTGTGGTCTGTCTTATCCTTCGCTTGCGTGTCTGAACTTGAACCTCTGTCTGATCTCCCCTGACCACTTTACATCCTCTGTCTGAACTTTTATCCCCTGCAGACCTCCAGCCTGTCCGTTTATGACCCTGAGCATAGTGTGGCCCCTATCTGGCATCTGTTGGGGGGGGGAGGGGTCAGACCCAGGTTCGATCACACGTTACTCCGGTTCGACTCCCTTGGCAGCGCGGTTCTACTCCCTTATGAGCGCGGTTTGACGCCCGTGTGACGCCCTGCGCCGCCTGACCGTCGCGCCTGACCCCGTCAGGACCGGTCTCAGCGGCCGTCGTGGCCGACGGGGCCGGCCTCGGGCGCCGACAGCACGGGCTCGCGCGGCTCCCAACGTCACGTGACGGCCGACCTCGAGCAGCTGGAGGACGGCGTCGTCCGCGTCGGCAAGATCGCCTTCGACTCGGACGCCTGCATCGGCAAGGGCTGCGAGGGCACGTTCGTCTTCAAGTGAGTAAGCGGGACGGGACGGGACGGGACGGGACGGGACGGGACGGGACGGGACGGGACGGGACGGGACGGGACGGGACGGGACGGGACGGGACGGGACGGGACGGGACGGGACGGGACGGGACGGGGCCGGGGCCGGGGCCGGGGCCGGGTCCGGGTCCGGGTCGGGGCGGGGTGATGATGTCGTGGCCGTCTGTATGCTGACCGCTGTCACCAGCGCGCCGTGGCCGGATGACCAGACATCTCTCGACGGACGCCGCCAACGAGTGAGTGAACGGCCGTGGCGTGGTGGGCGCGCCCGGTTGGCAGCCGCCGCGGGCCGTTTGGGGCTCGCTAGCGGTTTTCCAAGTTTACATCCCAGTCTGCACGAGGTGGTGACGCTGGGTGATGCAGTGATGATATGCGTTACTGATGGATCCAGCGCCGGTGGCGTCAGTGTAGTACAGCACAATGCCCACGGCGTGGTGCTGAAAAGCCGTGTGGGCTGTTCCACACACAGACGGACGTGCTTCCGCATGAGCTTGTTGAACTCTTCTCTCGTCGACAGTCGGTATGCGGGTGCTATTCGATTTCCATTGCAATGTATCATTGGCTGTTTCTCTTCAATTTGTCCTGCAAAATCGTCATTCCCTCAAGGTTAAGTGCATGTAACCCGTAGGTTGTTCATCTCATTAGTGAGGAACATTATTAACATAGATAAGACAGTTATAGTATAAGCCTTAGTCCTCGGAGAAAGACTAGGAGACAGCTTACCCCAACCCAACTATATGTCCATTCTCCTGGTTTTTCTGCGAGGAATGAGGCTTATACTACTGCCTCATCTATGCATGTAATCAGGTATGATCCATGAGCTATGACATGCAAGGAACATCTGGAAACAAGCCGCGGTGCGCCCTGCTGGGATCTGACCACCTGTCGATTGACGTCACCTCACGTGATGTGATTCGACCCGAATATGATAGACCAGGTCACGACCTGACCTGACTCACCGAGGACATGAGCACAGCTGCACCAGGCTGTCGTCCGATCTGAGCATTTTTCATGACCCCGCCTTGACCCGGCCTGGCAAACTCCGGAATCCCACCGCGTCACCGTTCCGTGTCACAACCGGACCAAGTGCGACGCGTCCAGCACCCCGACCTGTCCGGACCTGGCCGCGCGGCTGTGCTCAATCTGACCACGACCGGACCGCGCCAGACCGCCTGACCTGACCGCCGTCGCAGCTCCACCTGACCTGACCTGACCCGACCGCGCGGCCGTGCTCAGTCTGACCGGACTGGACCGCGCCAGTCCGCCTGACCTGACCGCCGTCGCAGCTCACCTGACTGCCGTCGCAGCTCACCTGACCTGACCTGACCTGACCTGACCTGCAGGGGCTGGTTCGACGGCCGTGATGTGGCAGTGAAGCGGCTGCTGCCGGACTGCTTCACGTTCGCCGACCGAGAGGTGGCGCTGCTCAGGGAGTCGGATCAGCACCCCAACGTCATCAGGTCAGTGGAACTGACACCGAGGTCATCAGGTCGGTGGAACTGACACTCCAGGGTTAGCTGGGCGGTGGACGGATGCCCCAGGGTTATCAGGTCAGTGGGGCTGGCACCCAGGGTCGTCAGGTCAATGGAGCTGACACAGCAAGGCCATCAGGTCGGTGAGAATGACACACCAGGGTCATCAAGACAGTGAGACTGGTACACCGGGGTCATCAGGTCAGTGCAACTGGTGCCCCAAGGTCATCAGGTGCGATGAACTGACATCTCGTCGTGTTCAGGTCAGTGATCAGGTCAGTGAGACAGTGGACGTCACCAGGTCACGGGGTCACGGCCGGTCACGGAGTGTTACCGGTTGGCTGCTCACCGACCTCACCCGATGACCTTTGCTTGACCTCCCATACGGAGGTCCCAGGGCCATCAGGTCTGGAGTATGGAGGCGCGGCTGACCCGCCGTCCGTGTCAAGATGTCGTCGTTCGTTATGTGTGGCAGGGAGGAGGGGGGGGGGGGGGGGGGGGGCGGCGATGTAGTGGTTAACGCGTCTTCGTTAACCTCAGCGCGTCTGGAAAGCCAGAGGTACGGGGTTCGACTCCTTGCGGTACCCGCCCTTCCTGCCAGGATGAGAGGCAGGCGCCGCCATATCTCAGCAGCTGAGTGTGTCGTAAAGCCCCAGTGACACAATGACGCACTTTTGCTGGCACTTGCAAACCAACGACATACTGTCGTTGGTATTCGCCTGGCGCTGGTTGCGGTGTCCGGAGTGGGTGCCCTGCGGCGGGCCTGGGCGGTGTCGTCGCTGGCTGACGCCGTCCGTCCGCCCCAGGTACTTCTGCATGGAGCAGGACCGCCAGTTCCGCTACATCGCGCTGGAGCTGTGCCTGTCCAACGTGCAGGACTACGTGCTGGGGCGGTACGAGGGGCCCGATATAGCGCCGCTCGCCATCCTCAAGCAGGCCACCGCCGGACTGGGCCACCTGCACCAGCTCAACATCGGTCAGTTGTGAGGGACTGGGCCACCTGTACCAGCTCAACATCGGTCAGTTGTGGAGGGGGAGGGTGTCTGGGACACCTGCACCAGCTCAACATCGGTCAGTTGTGGAGGGGGGAGACTGGGACACCTGCACCAGCTCAAAATCGGTCAGTTTTGCTGCAGACCGAGCACAGACGTTGACGCGTCCTTGAACTCACACCGTTATGACCAACGTTATCCGGTCGCGGCGCGGTTGGGCTGGCTGCTGTACGTGTTAAGATAAGATCGGGGATGGAAGAACTGCGATGAGACGGGCACGCCGTCCTCGGCCGCAAATCCCCTACGTCACAAAGGTGGGCCGATGGGGATTACAACCGATTGAGTTCTGAATCACTTGATAAGTATGTGTCTCTGCCTTGAGTGAGCTATGAGTGTTAGTGATAACACCGCTCACCTGCCGCAGCGGCGCCCTAGCCACGACACCGCCCCTGCCGTCCCCCCGGCGCCAGCTGACCCCCTTTCCTCTCTCCGCCTTCCGCAGTTCATCGCGACATCAAGCCTCACAACGTGCTGCTGGCGGCGCGCAGTGGCGGCCAGGCGGTGGCCATGATCTCCGACTTCGGCCTGTGCAAGAAGCTGTCGCGCGGGCGCGTGTCGTTCTCGCGCCGCTCGGGCGTGGCCGGCACCGAGGGCTGGATCGCGCCGGAGATGGCCGACGGAGAGGGGCGCGCGGTGAGTGTGGGGCGCAGGGAAAACCAGGGCAGGGTAGGACAGGACAGGGCAGGGCAGGACAGGGCAGGGCAGGGTAGGGCAGGGCAGAGCAGGGCAGGGCAGGGCAGGCAGGGCAGGGCAGGGCAGGGCAGGGCGGAGGGATGGATGAACCGAAGGGTGGCCTGGTTCAGCTGACACGCCTTCGGCCTGTGTCCGTGTCCCGCCGCTCGGGACGGACGGTCCCTGACCCAGGCGGACAGGGAGCGTCTCAGGCGATTGTCACGGACGTGAGTCGCCGCCGTCTAGTAACATCCTTGTGGTCCGTGGCCCCGACCTTGACCCGGCCTGTGCCCCGGCCCCTCCGGCGCAGACGGGCGGGGCAGACAGACGTGTTAGGACCTTGGCCCGGCCTTGGGTTGCCATGCAGTGTGACCCGGGCCATTCTGTGACCCCACGACGCCCGCCCCCGTCCTCAGACGTGTTCCGTGGACGTGTTCTCCCTGGGCTGCGTCTTCTACTACGTGATGAGCGGCGGCCACCACCCGTTCGGCGAGTCGTTCAGACGCCAGTACAATATCCTCAGCGGCGAGTACAGGTCAGCTCCCCCCGCCCTTTCTCTCCCCGGAGTACGTGTCAGCCGTGCACGGGATCTCTGTGGCTGGTCCAGGTATTGAGCTAAATCCGATCTCTGGTGCATTTAGGGGCATTTTATGCGCTTTTGGCAATCGACGTTGAGAGAAGGGTGGTCAAGTATAGACTGGTTGCGGGTAGGTCGTAGTGAAAGATAATTGAAAGATTCAAGCATCTTTGATTTGTTTTCCTGGACTTACGCGAATGTTACCCGGAAGAATGGCGACGGCTATGATAACGAAAAAGATCAGTGGATGCAAATTAATGTGAGGAGCGGTGAACTAGTAGCCCAAAGCCGTTCTAACAAATACGCAAATGCCGACGAGCCGTGTGGTGTGGGCCGATGGCGCCGCGCCCTGTGCGTCACCGCTGACGCCGCCGCCGCCGCTGCCGACAGCCTCTCCCTCCTGACGGACGTCACCGGTGTGTGTCTGATCCGACGCATGCTGTCGACGCCGGCCGAGCAGCGGCCGCTGGTGCCGGCCGTGCTGGCTCACCCGTTCTTCTGGCCGCCGCAGAAGGTGCTGCACTTCTTCCAGGTGAGCGCCGGCGGTGTCCGCTCCCGTGCGGCCCGACCCCCGGGCTGGCGGGGTCGGCCCATGGCCGTGCACGCACGAGGGGAGGGGGGTGGTGGGGAGGCCGTGCTCGCGAGGATGTGGGTTGAGGCTCGCCATTGGCTGTTTTTCGTTGGCTCCGTTGCGTTATGCGGCGTGGGAGATCGCGACACTGGTTGACGAAAATGGTGACGGGTGTTGTTAAGTGAACCGGAGTAGATATGGAAGCCTTTGGTACTCATAAAGCGGTTTTGAAATGCTGCTGTACCTCTCCCAGATTGTTCCGCCGCGCGCTGCGTGACTGCCACTTCATTCTTCTTCGCGAGCTTTCGTGGTTCGCTGTTGCAATTAAACTGAGTGCAGCATCTTGTGTCTGCCAGAAGAAGGTCCATAACGCGACTAGACCAGACCTATGTGCCGGGCCACGTTGGCTTGACCTCGAGCGGCGGATGATGAACATTGATCGCCCGCATGGGTTGCATGCCGTCTCTACCGGTGCTCCTCCGACTCCTGTCCTTCCATAGGTGTAGTGAGTACCCCTCTGTCTTGGGATTTCGTGACTTCGGCGACCTCGGCGACCTCGGCGATGGGCGGGTGTAATCCTAAGGCATTTCTCCGCTGGAGTCAATCTTCCTCCCCTCCCAGGCGGACGGTACCTGAACTGGATCTGTCCTCGACCGTACGACATCTCTAATCGACCCCGCCCTGCCGTGACCTTCTCAGTGACCTTGTGGCAGACCACACCTGACGCTGACCACCCGTTACCCCTTGACCTCCGGACAGTCCGCGCCTGACTCTGACCCTGACCGTGACTTTCTCAGTGACCCCGTAACGCTAGCGGAGTACGCCTGACCCTGACCACCTGTTACCCCTTGACCTCCGGACAGTCCGTACCTGACCCTGATCGTGACCGTGACCGTGACCCCGTGACCCACGCGCCGCCGGCAGGACGTGAGTGACCGGATCGAGAAGGAGGCTCCGGACTCGGAGCTGGTGCGCCGGCTGGAGCGGCGCGGCTGGGAGCTCTCGGGCGGCGACTGGAGGGAGCGCATCGACCCGTTCGTGCTCAGCGACCTCGGCAAGTTCCGCTCGTACCGGGGCTCCAGCGTCCGCGACCTGCTGCGCGCGCTCCGCAACAAGGTACGGATCGGGCCGCGGCACTCCGCGACCGAGCCCGGTCAGGGGGAGGGTCGTACCTCAGCGGTGTTGATAGATACTAGGGATCAAGAGCTACTGGGGTCTTGAAGTGTGAACTAGCGCGCAGTCGTTGGAATATTGGGCCTACATTTGAGATGGCTGAATTCCTCTGTGTAGCGTATGTAACGATTTGGCACTGGGTGGCATGAGTACAGCGCGCGGCGTCGTGATCATGTCTCGTATGTGGCTCACCATGTGGGACATACGTGTTGTGATTCATGATGTGAGACACACGTGTTATTATTGTTTCGTGTGTGACTCGCCACGTGGGATACACGTGTTATGATTATGACTCATGTGTCACCCATCATGTGGGACTCACGTGTCATGATTATGTCATGTGTGTCACCCATAATGTGTCACGCATGTGACACCCTGGTATTTGCGAGCCTGCGTTGGATGTCACAGTCGTCCGATGGCGCTGTCACGTCACAGAGAGGGGTGATCACGTACGGATCGTCCCAGCTGCCCCTCCCCCTGCGTTCTACCCTCTGCGACACCGTTCCCATCGCAGCCAATGCATCCAGTGGCAGCTGCAGCCGTTACAGCGGCGGCTGCCTTGCGAAGAAGCACAGCCGTGGGCGACGGCACCAGCGGCCTGTGCGGGAGAGGGCCGGCCGGCCGGACGTATCGTGACGACCCCCCCCCCCCCCCCTGGCAGAGGAACCACTACCGGGAGCTGAGCGAGGAGGCGCGGCTGGCGCTGGGCGCGATCCCGGACGGGTTCGTGCGCTACTGGACGGGCCGCTTCCCGCGGCTGCTGGCGCACGTGTGGTCGGCGGCGCAGGCGGTGCGCAGCGAGCCCATGTTCAGCAAGTACTACTGCGGCGAGTACGACTGGACGCTGGTGAGCAGGGCGCCTGGATGGATGTATCGTGAGCTTTATGTATCGCCGCTCCAGGCCGGAGCGGCGGACAGTCCGGCGACTGGTCCGCTGTCGTCTGCGGGGTGGTCCCTGCTGGGTCACGCTATGCCCTGGGTCGAGCATAGTGAAATGTGGACCATGCAGGCTAGGGCCAATTGAAGGTCGTACAAAGGCCATGGCCAGCATTGGGCATGCAGGCAAGTGAAGGCCATTGTTCTTTAGATAGGAGACAGGCAAGAGTGAGCCGCGCGCTGACAGTGCACGGAGTATGGCCGAATACGTGCCACACGCCGGGCCAGTCACAGATCTGTCTGACCACATGCGAGCCAACTGGCTACGTCTGCCTTCAAGGGTCTTGGAACCCCCAGCCAGCTGCCTCCATGGCTGGCTAGATATAACCTGCCAACTTTAGCCGCGCCTCGCTAGATGTCACCACCGCTGGTACGCGTCGCCGCTCACTAGATGTCGCCGCCGTCGTCAGGAGCCGGACCCAGACGCGGTGCCGCCGTGGCAGCGCAGCCCCGCGCGCCGCTCGCCGTCGCCCAGCACGTCGCCGTCGCCGCGCCGCCGTCCGGCGCGCCGGGGAGGCCGTGGCGGCGGGCGCTCCGCCGGCGCCGGCGCCGAGGAGGCGCGCGGCCCCCTGCTGCCCGGCTCCCAGCCGGGCATGTCCCTCATCGGCGCTCTGCTGGAGACGGACGCTCGCAACCGGTGAGGGTCGGCAGCGGGGAGGGGTTGGTGGGGAGGGTAAGGGCCACTTGCGGTGGGAGATGGTGGGGTGGGTGAGGACCACGAGCGGGGAGGGGATGATGGAGTGGGTGAAGGCCGACAGCGAGGAGGAGATGTTGGGGAGGGCGAGGGCCGACAGCGGGGAGGGGGTGGAGGAGTGAAGGCTGTAGACACGTCAGGAGTGCGTCAGGGACGTCCTAAAGCTGTCCATGGTTGGTTTTTGTTTAGCTGATGATTAAGTAGCTTAGGTACTTTCAGCAGAGTATTAAGTTGCAACAGCTCTCCTCGTGGCATCTGCACCAAATGGGATCATTGCACAGAAATATGTTGCAACTCTCAGCCAATGTCCGCTTTATTCTCCTGCTGGAAATAATACCTTCCTTCATCCTTCAAAATACCTTCACAGTACCCAGAGGCATAAGTTCAGAATGCCAAGTTATACCCGAAATGAACTGCGAAACTTGACGCCACGAGCCCATCACACGAGCCCATTACACGAGCCCATCTCACAAGCCCATTACACGAGCACATCACGGGCACGTCACACAAGCCCATCACACGAGCCAATCTCATGAGCCCATCACACGAGCCCATCTCACGAGCCCGTCCCACAAGCCCATTACACGAGCACATCACGGGCACGTCACACAAGCCCATCAAACGAGCCCATCTCAAGAGCCCATCACACGAGCCCATCTCACGAGCCCATCCCACAAGCCCATCTCACAAGCCCATCAAACGAGCCCATCTCACGAGCCCATCACACGAGCCCATCTCACGAGCCCATCACATGAGCACATCTCACAAGCCCATCACACGAGCCCATCTCACAAGCCCATCAAACGAGCCCATCAAACGAGCCCATTACACGAGCCCATCCCACGAGCCCATCCCACGAGCCCATCCCACGAGCCCATCCCACGAGCCCATCACACAAACCCGTCACACGAGCCGATCTCACGAACCTATGTCACGAGTCCTATCACACTAGCCATCACACTAGCCCATTTCACGAGCCCATCACTCGAGCCCATCACACGCAGCGGTCTGTCACCTGTGCCGGTCCACCGCCGGCTGTCAGCGCGCGCCACCTTCCGGCGAGCTGCTCCACTGACCCGCCGATGGCCGCCGCCGCCAGGGAGCCGGACGCGCGCGAGGTGCAGGGCGCGCTGTCGGACGAGATCGGCGAGCGCGTGCGCCGCCGACTGGTCGACATCGTCCAGGAGGGCGGCACCCTGGTGGAGGAGGCCGACGCCATCGTGCGACGCGGCTCTCGCCCCGACCTCGCGGGCGGCGCCGGCTGTGACGCGGGCGACGCGGACGGAACTGGCGCGGACGCCGCCGGCGCTGGTTTTGGTAGCGGCGTTGCCGATGATGGGGCAGCCCAACCCGCCACCCACGCTCCCGCGGCCTCTGACAACGGCGAGACTGGCGCCGTCGCAGTCGGCGACGGTGGCGCCATCGCAGTGACCACTGACGCCAGCTCCGTCGCCGGCGACGCCAGCGCCCCCGGCGGCGGCGCCGCGCGCGCACAGACCCTCCGGCCGGGGCTGCGGTGAGGCAGGCCGTGGTGACCGCTCAGCAGGCGGCCGTCAGGGGCGCGGCGCAATCCGATGGCCTCCTGGGCGGACCGGGCCTAGCGCCGGCGGCTGGACGTGGAATCTCTCCAGCTGTGTGTTTTACGTGTGTGTGTTTGGTGTGGAGCTCCATCACTGTTGGCGCGCTCGCAGACATAGTTGAGCGCGCGCCGCCGCTGAACGCGAGTGCTTTACCGCCCGAGTCTAGTGTTGGGTGGAGGCTGTTTATGGCGCCACGGTTTTAGCTGGTAGTGACCGGGAGGACGGTAGATGGCGCCATCTACCCGCCATTCAGGACGTGGGATGGCGGGAGCTGCGAACCCACTTGGGCAATGTGTTTCGTGCGGCCGTCAGAGGATGGCAGATGGAGCCGGTACTGGCTGTGCAAGCTCAAATTGTCTGCATTCCCTGTAGCGCGCTGGGTGCGTTTTGAATCCACTACAACGCGTGGAGTGTTTTTAAACGACTGTGGATCGTGGGTGCCTTACAACGCTGACGTGCGTGCGTGTGTGTGTGCGCGTTCTTGACGTCCTTCATTGCCTCTCGCGGTGCGTGTTTTGGTGCCTGTCGTGTACAGGGGCGATGGGTTTTGTATTCCAGCGAGCCCGCGTGCTGTAGAGTGGCCGGGCGCCAGTCCGCCCTCCTGGTCACATTCGAGCATCGCGTGGTGTGGCACGCGCGGCGGGGATCGCGGCCGCCGGCCGTTGGTGGTTTTTCGACGCGCTGTGTGGGTGATGCCTAGCGGGATAGGGATCCGACCCGTCGCCGTTTCCGGTGCGTAATGGGTTGACATGTGCATTATATTCGAAGGTCTAGCCACGCAAGCCAAGTAGGCGTTGCACATCCGAGTGAATTGTTTGTAATAATTGCCGCAACTGTCACAAAATTGTGCCTACGAGTCGTAAAGACAAGCATTGAAGGAATTCACCGAGCTCTGGACATTTAAATTCCCCCACGCCGATCAGGCGGTCACCATTGGCCTGCGCCAGATAAGGCCGATAGGGCCGATAAGGCCGCTCTCCGATCCCGGTGCGACGGCTGGTGGAGGTGCCCTCGCAAGCGGTCATGTCTACTGCGATAGCGGCAATCGCCGCCTTATGTCTGCGGCCCACGTGACATGTGACGTCACGGGACGTCGACGTCGCGCGGCCCAACGGCGGCCAGACGTGCTGGTCCATCACCTGAGGCGAATAAACGCGACATTCATGGCGCTGTGTGTGCGGCTGGCTTCAGCCGTGCGGTTTGTCGCGACGCCTCGAGAGACGGAGGCAGACTACGAGCTTTCCTCCGCGGTCGACTTCAGCGGTGCTCTGGATTCGATCTTTCATCGATACATATACTTTGGACGTCGGTGACGCCGCCTGTAGCAATCCGAGGCGTAAATCAACCACAGTAGCCGGCGCACCGCACACCCGAATCACGGCCGAGCATCATCGACACTCAACGTACTGCACGCATTATGATCAGTTAACCAAAAAATATCGTACCATCATCATCATTATACAATCATCGCCCGGCCAACGGTGTGGCAGCCACTCTGGCCGCACACGGCGCTGGTAACCAATGTCACGCGCCTCATCAATGCCACCGAGCGATGTTTCCGGGCAAGCACCTGCAGTCCACCCGGGCCTGTTTAGCAGCATGCGATGCGCGCGGGCGTCGCATTCCTTTGTGGGCGGCATACGTTGACGGCGCATGCAGCTGGGAACTCCGCGTTCAAGCCGCTCGGCCGTCTGGCGGCGGACGTGACTCGGTCTCCACACGCGAAACGGATCTGCGCTCACGCTTGGCGACGGCTAGAATGATCTCGCGCGGTCCGTCCTGTGTCACCTCGTTCGTGGTCGCCTTAGCTGAAGTGATCGCAACGAATACGCCCCTCAGCGTCTGTATGTATTCAGAGAGACGGGCAGTGACGGAGAGACGCCAGAGCTCGTTCGTGGCGCCGCACGGATCGCCAGGACGCGGTGGCGGTGGCCACTCGACTGTGCTCCGCTGCGCGTGACATGATCACCGCACGACACACCCTCACCGGGTGAACACCGCGGGGCTCGCCACTCGCTCGGTGGGCCATGGCGTGCCATCCCTGTTACTGTGCCAGTCAAACACGCGTTCTACGGCAACCCGTGGGTGCAGCACACGCCCCACACGGTAAACCCTGCATCAGGTGAAACGGACGGCCTCGACATCAATCGACAAGTCCAGCTTGTGACGAACATGACAGGCGATTGTGCGAATGTCCTATCAATTCATGCGAATATCACGTATGGCAGAATAAGAATTTTAATGGTACGATCACATGTATTCGAACCAAACGTTACCAAACGTTGCAGAATGACATTCAAAGCCATTTGTTGCCTGGTTTTACCAACAACCAGACCCCACATGATTTCCATACAGTCAGCAACACACTCGGCAGCTTTTAAGGACAACCACTCTCGAAAACACAGGTATTTTATGAGCACACTGTATGCGAATTGGACCCTTTACCATAAGACATGAGCTGGAGGAGCGAGTTCCCAAATCATCATCAGCATCAGCAAAACCCAAATCACCATCAGCTAACATTTGATGACCTCTGATGACCTCTGACCTTGTCCCAAGATCATTGTGATGTGCCCTAGGCAACCCTACCGAAGCGAAACTCAAGTGAGTTTATCATTTCACTATGACCCGCCCGTTGGTAACAACAAATCCGTTAGCCGCACATATTCCCGGGGCGCCGATCCCGGCTCTGGCTCTGGAGTCCGTTACGGACGTCACGTGGTTTCATCGCGCGCAGCTCTGTGCTGCTGCCTGTTATCGACGGTACTGTGGATTCTTGTGCTGGGCCTAGATAACACGATTAAAAGTGTGTCTCTGTGGCCGCGGGTTAACAGTGACCGGGGAGCGAGTGGTGTGGTCAGAGGGCGGCTGGGATCCTCAGACCCGCGGTCAAGCGTCGTGCTGCCTGGTATTTAATAGGCGGCAACCAGTCTGAGAACCCTATGGCGGACGTCACAGTGATGGTACGCGCCAGCAGTGCAAGCGCAGCGTACAGTAACAGTCTATCAATCACAACAGGCCATATGTGTAAATGTGTTCGTCTACCGTGGTTTGGCCTGCTGCATAGGACTGATCTGCTGAACTGCTGCACCCGTGATGACCGTTGTTGACCTGATGCACTTCCTGGTGGCCTCTGACCTCGTCGCGGCGCTCACGCCCGCGCCATGCCGATCCCTGGTCACCCGGTGCGCTCTGGGATGGCCTCTGACCCCAGACTGAGCGTCAGTTTCTGCTGCTCCCCGCGCGGACCGACGATGACCCGATGTCCCTGGTGTTGACCCCTGACCCGTGCCACCAGGTGCGCACATTCTGACCGACGATGACCCGCTGCCCCTGGTGTTGACCCCTGACCCCTGCCGCCAGGTGCGCACGTTCTGACCGACGATGACCCGATGTCCCTGGTGTTGACCCCTGACCCCTGCCGCCAGGTGCGCACATTCTGACCGACGATGACCCGCTGCCCCTGGTGTTGACCCCTGACCCCTGCCGCCAGGTGCGCACGTTCTGACCGACGATGACCCGCTGCCCCTGGTGTTGACCCCTGACCCCTGCCGCCAGGTGCGCACGTTCTGACCGACGATGACCCGATGCCCCTGGTGTTGACCCGTGACCCCCGCCGCCAGGTGCGCACGTTTTGATCCACGATGACCCGCTACCCCTGGTGTTGACCCGTGACCCGTACCGCCAGGTGCGCACGTTTTGATCCACGATGACCCGATGTCCCTGGTGTTGACCCCCGACCCCTGCCGCCAGGTGTGCACGTTTTGACCCACGATGACCCGATGCCCCTGGTGTTGACCCCTGACCCCTGCCGCCAGGTGCGTACGTTTTGATCCACGATGACCCGCTGCCAATGGTGTTGACCCCTGACCCGTGCCGCCAGGTGCACACATTCCGACCCACGATGATGCGCTTCCCCTGGTGCTGACCCCTGACCCCTGCCGCCAGGCGCGCTTGTTCAACGTCACATTCCTGCTGTCGGCCGGCGAGTGGGCGGCGCTGATCTCTGACCTGACGGGGTCGGCCGACGCGGTGACCTCGGCCGCCACGCAGCGCGCGCTGTTCGTGCTGACGGTGCTGGCGCTGGCGGCGCTAGCGCTGGCGTTGCGCCGACGACAGGTACGGGTACTGGTGCGGTGCGAGAGACTCGAGGCCGTGGAGGAGGGGGGGGGGGAGGGGAGGGGAGCTCGCTGACCGAGGGTTGTTGGCCTACGCCATCGGACTGGCGTACGGGCGAAGGTCCCGTCGATCGTTTGGCGTTGTGTTGGCTTTTTTTGTATGTGTTAGAAATGTATATTTGAGCTTCCATCGCAGTGTGTGCGCCGGTGTAGGATAGATAGAAGTAAAGAAGTGCCTGAAGCTTTTGCACTGGTAGACCCATGCTTTCCTTTAACCTGAGTAGTATCTGAGATCGTTAGCCTGGAATATGCCTGCAACCTGTTGTTGACGTTAATCCTCTTCGTCTGAGAAGGACGGCATGAGTGGCTGCTGACCAGCTTTACCCACCCGACACAGTGGCACCACCTGTTCCATGGCAGTACCGCCATACTCTCGGACTGTCAGCCCACTCCGGGGACCTGCTGGGGGCGGTGTCCCGGTCCTGAGGTTTCCTGCGGCTCATGTGTGTTTGTGTGAACCCTGTACGTGGGGATGCCTCGTTCGTGATCTCCTGATCCTCTGGCTCACTCTGTGGAATCCTCTCCTGGCCGACGCCCGTGTAACCTCGGTCCTTTGTGATCTGTCTGATCATTCACTTGCGTGCCTGAACTTGAACCTCTGTCTGATTTCCCCTGACCACTGCACGTCCCTGTCGGCACGTTCGTCTCATGTAGAAGTTCAGCCTATCCGTGTATGACCCTGAGTCGGGCTTGGCCCTTGTCTGGCCTCTGTTTGACTCTCCTGGGGCGTGGAGGGGGAGGGTCAGACCCCGGTTTGATGTCATGTTACTCCAGTTTGACTCCCGTATCAACGCGGCTGACTCTCTTGTGAGCGCGGTTTGACGCCCGTGTGACGCCCCGCGCCGCCCAATCGTCGCCCCTGGCCCCGCCAGGAACGGTCTCAACGGTCGTCTCGTCGGTCGTCTCAGCGACTGTCTAGTCGGTCGTCTCAGCGGCCGTCTCGTCGGCCGTCTCAGCGGCCGACGGGGGCCCAACGTCGCGTAGAGGCTGACTTCGAGCAGCTGGAGGACGGCATCGTCCGCGTCGGGAAGATCGCCTTTGACTCGAACGCCTGCATCGGCGAGGGCTGCGGGGGCACGCGCGTCTTCCAGTGAGTAAACGTAGTGGGGCGAGGGGGGGACGGGACGGGCGGGGTTGGGCGGGACGAAGAGCGGGACGGGGAGCGGGACGGGACGGGACGGGACGTCCCGTCCCGTCCCGTCCCGTCCCGTCCCGTCCCGTCCGTCCCGTCCCGTCCCGTCCCGTTTCATGACCCCACCTTGACCTGGCCTGGCAAACACCGGAGTCCCACCGCGTCACCGTTCCGTGTCAAAGCCGGACCTCGTCGACGCGTCCAGCACCCGACCTGTCCGAACCTGACTGACGCGTCCAGCACCCCGACCTGTCCGAACCTGACCGACGCGTCCAGCACCCCGACTTGTCTGGACCTGACCGCGCGGCCGTGCTCAGTCTGATCACGACCGGACCGCGCCAGACAGCCTGAGTTGACCGCCGTCGCAGCTTACCTGACCTGACCTGACCTGAACTGACCTACAGGGGCTGGTTCGACGGCCGTCACGTAGCAGTGAAGCGGCTGCTGGCGAACAACGTCACGATCGCCGACCGAGAGGTGGCGCTGCTCAGGGAGTCGGATGAGCACCCCAACGTCATCAGGTCAGTGGGACTGACACACCGAGGTCATCAGGTCAGTGACACTGACACTCCAGGGTCAGCTGGGCGGTGGACGGATGACCCAGGGTCATCAGGACAGTGAGGCTGGCACCCAGGGTCGTCAGGTCAGCGGAGCTGACGCAAGAAGACCATCAGGTCAGCGTCCGCGTTAACGCGTCTGCGTTAACCACTGGACGTTTGGGGAACCAGAGCTAGGGAGTTCGATTCCCCACGGTGCCCGCCCTTCCTGCCAGGGTGAGAGGCAGGCGACGCCACATCTCAGCAGCTGAATGCGTCGTAAAGCCCCAATGACACAAGGACACACTTTTGCTGGCACTTGCCTGGCTCCAGTTGCGGTGTCCGGCGGCGTGTGCCGTGCGGCGGGCCCAGGCAGTATCGCCGCTGACTGACGCCGTCCTGACCCGCCCCAGGTACTTCTACATGGAGAAGGACCGCGACTTCCGCTACATCGCGCTGGAGCTGTGTCTGGGCAACGTGCAGGACTATGTGCGGGGGCGGTACAAGGGGCCCTATATAGCGCCGCTCACCATCCTCCAGCAAGGCCACCACCGGACTGGATCACCTGCACCAGCTCAACATCGGTCAGTTGTGGAGGGGGGACTGAGCCACCTGTATCGGCCAAACATCGGTCAGTTGTGGAGGGGGACTGGGCCACATGTACCAGCTCAACATCGGTCAGTTGTGTAGGGGTACTGGACCACCTGCACCAGCCCAACATCGGTCAGTTGTGGAGGGAGAACTGAGCCACCTGTATCGGCTAAACATCGGTCACTTGTGCTGCAGACCGAGCACAGACGTCAACGCGTCCTTAAACTCACAGCATCATGTCAATTG